ACTAGAGGGACCTGGTACCCAGACCACTTCATTGAGCTGATGTGATCTGGGTGTCTGTTGTGGTCCTTTAAGTGTATGTGTATCTGCATGCACTGGCGTACATACCGCAGTCGCAGTGGTCGCAGCCCTGAGACCAGGTGCCTGCCACCATGTGTTGCGGCCCCGGCCCTTGCGGAGCAGGGGGTCAATTTTTGCACCAGGGCCCCATAGGTCGTGTGTACACCACTGGTCTTACCCAACATGCTGCAGCTCAGTTTTAGAGTCTTGGCAATCTTCTTATAGTCTAGGCCATTTTTATGTAGAGCAACAATTCTTTTTTTCAGATCCTCAGAGAGTTCTTTGCCATGAAATGCCATGTTAAACTTCCAGTGACCAGTATGAGATAGTGTGAGAGCGATAACACCAAATGTAAGACACTTGCTCCCCAATCATTCCTGAGACCTTGTAACACTAACGAGTCACATGACACCGGGGAGGGAAAATGGCTAATTGGGCCCAAGCAGACTAAGGACATGGATTACTGGAACCAAGTCATGTGGTCCAGTGAGACCAAGATAAACTTATTTGGTTCAGATGGTGTCAAGCGTATGTGGCGGCAACCAGGTGAGGAGTACAAAGACAAGTGTGGCTTGCCTACAGTCAAGCATGGTGGTGGGAGTGTCATAGTCTGGGCCTGCATGAGTGCTGCCGGCACTGGGGAGCTACAGTTCATTGTAGGGATGTGCATGGGCAAAAAATTTGGTTTGGCACCTCAGCAATTCGGGACTTCGGCACTTCGGTTCGGCACTTCCAAAATTTGGTACTTTGCCACTTTGGGAATTAGGGACTTCAACAATTCCCTAACCCCTAACCATACCCTCAACCTGAACCTTAACCCTACCCCTAACCCTACCCATACTCCTACCACTATCCCTAACCCTACCACTACCCTTAAAACTAACCCTAATCCTGCCCCTGCCCCTACCCCTACCCTACCCCTGTGATGTCATCATGGAGGAATGGAAGAGGACTCCAGTGGCAACCTGTAAAGCACTGGTGAACTCCATACCCATAAGGGTTAAGACAGTGCTGGAAAATAATGGTGGCCACACAAAATATTGACACTTTGGGCCCAGTTTGGACATTTCCACTTAGGGGTCTACTCACTTTTGTTGCCAACAGTTTAGACATTAATGGCTATGTGTTGTTATTTTGAGGGCACATCAAATTTACACTGTTATACAGGCTGCATATTCTGTAGGATTCCTCATTGCCTAATTACTTAACATTATACACCGTGTTCTGAATTCTACATACAGTAGGACAACTGTATACATACATTCATTCATACATACACATATAGTTACTAAGTAACCTTGGTTGTAAAAACTAGTCATTCTTTTATGCTGTTGTTCCAATAGAAAGCAAAACCCACAAATGTAGCCATTTCCATTCATGCCACGAAAAGGGACAACATTCCTTCTTGACTCCATAATTGCAATCAGATTTCTTGAATATTCTGTTTATGCAAAATAAAGCATCATCAAGTGAATTAGAAGTAGATCATAGGTGCATTGCAAATGTGGAAGTGACATCACTCACAGGAATGAAAAGTCTTACAAATAAAATTTCTTTTGCCTGCCAGGTGCTTTCTCCCTTAGAGAAGGGAAACAATGGAACAAACAAACCAGAAATCTTTGTGTTTCTTGTTTTGTTGCCTGGACTGTTATTTTAAATACCCGCATTTCTTGACCTCTAATTACTCCTTTAGAAGCTATAAGCAAATTACTTGCCACGGCTGAAGACTTATTCCATTGAATATTTTCATATATCACAAATAAGAGAGGATTTAATAGCCACTCCAGACTGGAACTTACCTCATTTTATGCATTATACATTAAAATTGTTATCATTATTCATTAGTTCAGATATTCCAGCCAGTGGGGTTCCGTTAACCGTGGGGGGAAGTCAATGCTGAGTACAGCATTGAGATTTATGGAGGGTTCCGCAAGACCACAGGATCCTCCATAGACAGACTGGTGACGGCTGGAGAATAGGCACTTCTAGATGGTGGTAGCGCCGCCCAGGGTCAAGAAGTGTGAGACAGAGAAAGTAGTCCCTAATTTGTCTCAGTATATATTTTGACTGTTTTGGAGTATCAGGGAAATCCAAATCCAGTCAATTTAAGTATTCCATAAATATTTTATACACAATTTGCAGAGAGGAGGGAGGGGGGATGGGATGGGCGGAGGTGACAGTGCCACTTTGAGGAAAGGATCCTCTTGATTGACTGAATAGTACATCCCCCCTGCAAACACACATTGTAGAATTACATGTCTACTCTAGCCTAGAGACAGGGGTGACCTGATTATGTGACTTATTTGAGTGAGATCACAGGTGTATAGCTAAAGTAGTGTTTGCAAATTACAGTAGTTATAATCTATAGAAAGAAGGAAGATGGGGACATAGAATATCGATGTGCTGTATGCTATGCAAGATGAATAGGTTACTATGGTGAATGGGCTGTCCTTTTAAACATTTTATGCAGAATTGATTGTTTTTCACAGTCCTGCATTGAAATTCAAGCAAGAAAATTGAAATGTTTTCCCCAGTCTCGTCGTCTTTAACTCATTGTTGGTGAGTGCTTGGTACCATGGCGGGATTTAACAGCAAAGCCTGACCTTTTTTGTGAAGTTCTAAATGCTGCTGAAAGTATTATAATGGCCCTTATTTAGCACTTTGCCACAGAATAGTCTTCGCTTTTGCATTGACATCTTTTGTTGTAACCTCTTTATGTCTGTATTTTTAGTGTAAAAATGCCTCTTTGCCACTTGTATTGGTGTGTGTATATTGTATGGTCTTTTATCCACAATTGCACAGCGCTACATAATATGTCGGCGCTATATATAAATGCCACTTGTTATAATAATAATAATAATATTTACTGATCATCTTGAAAAATACCAACTTTTATCTGATTGTACAAAGCTAGAGCTGCTTAAATGCAAATTCTGCAACATACATTTGTCTTTTATTTCTCCTATTTCTGGGTGGAGTAAATGTTTGTTTTGGAAAAAAATCTACAGCATTCCCCATTTGGTTATTTTGATTAAAATTTGTATTTTAAATAGTAAAAAAAAAAAACTTTGGTACAGCACAACAGGAATCTAAGCATTGTGATTTTGGCTACTTGAATTTGGAGATTTGTCTAGCAGTTATTTAACAGTTCTCATGCAGTTCTCTATTTCCAAGGGCGCTTTACAAAAAGTGTACAAATTTTTGTAGAATGTTGGTCTGTGTGGGGGAAGAGTCTATGTTGCACCTGAGATCAGGGCCGTCTTTAACGCGGGACAAACGGGGCAGCTGCCCCAGGCCCAGTTGCCCTGGGGGCCCCAGAGCAGCTGCCCCGTGGGCCCCGCGATTTACGCATTCCCCATGGACCGAGCGGTGCGGCTGCAAAGAGCCACACCGGCCCATGCACTAAGGGCCACCCGGTGGGCATGTGTCAGCAGGGGCCTGGTCTGGATTGCTCCCCAATCATTCCTGAGACCTTAAACAGCCCGACCAGCCCCTTCCTGTTCGGCAGCCGGCTGGGAGGAAGTGAGTGCCGCATGTCACTTCCTCCCACCGGAGATCAGAGCCGCACGGGAGGAGGAAGGCAGGGAGGAGGGGAGTTGTGTGTCAGTGTATGTGTGTGTCAGTATGTATCTGTGAATGTTTTAACCCCTTAAGGACACAACTTCAAAAATAAAAGGGAATCATGACAGAATATTTCCGTCATGTGTCCTTAAGGGGTTAATATGTCTCTCTGTGTGTGTATGTGTCAGTATGTCTGCCAGTGTGATTGTGGGTTGGGTGTAATTGAATGGGAGGGGGGGGGGAAGGGGCAGGGCCCAGGGGGCCCAAGAAAATGCATTGCCCAGGGTCCTATTCATATTATAGAAGGCCCTGCCTGAGATGGCAGATGGAATGCAGTTAAAGTCATTGTGTAGATAAGGTTTTATGAAGGAGGGACAATACACAATGGATGTACGGGGGAAGGTATGCTGTTACAGCCATTACCATATACTTAAAGAGTTTAAACATTACTGTCAGCTGTGCTAATAATTTATACATCATGTTGGACGCAGAGTTATCGAATTACAGGGTTATTCACTAAAAAGAGAATACAAAGTGAATTTCACATTTATGGCTCAGATAGTCAAACCGGGGAAATTCTGCAAGTTAGCTGTGCTTTCAGAGAATTTCACTTTAAATTCTCACTCTAGTAAATAACCCTGTTAGTCTTGCAATTTTCAATCATATTGAATAAACATGTGAAAGGGAAACTGTTGCTTCTGAGGATATGAAAACACGGAATACTGTATAACATGTGCCTTTTGTTAATCTTATTTTTATGTCACGTCCTGTTTTCTTTTTATTGTATTAATAATATTTAGCAGTTGACATCACAATCCAGTTCATTCCGGACACTTCCAAGGCAAACTATACAATAGGAATATAAGAAATAGAAATCTTTAGAATGTTCAGAGGCAGAAAAAGCTGTTTATAACAATGGCTGACAGGGAACCAAGAAGAGGGCACTCAGTTCCAGGATATAAGTAAATGCAAAAAGTATGAGTTTCCAATTTCACTATTATTCATTAGGCATTATATATGTTACACACAAGGGGGGACTCCATATTGCATACCCTGGAAAGTGACAGTTTCCTATTAAATATAAATAAAAATGATATTTTTTTCTGAATTTCTAAAATATTTATTTGAGCTGTTAGTATGGTATAAATTGTTATCAAAGGCTGCACAATATTTCCAAATGTGACTTTTGCCAAATTCTATCAAGCAGAGTTGAGCCATTATATTGGCCAAGGCTGCTGGGAGTTGCAGTCCAGGATCTGCTAGAGGGCAGAGGTTGCACAGTGGCTTTGTTGATACACAGATCAGATCCTGGCCATGCCCACACTGTGACTTGCCCTATCTCCTCCTCCCACACAGCTCACACGTGGCCCACCCTCTTCCAGCCCTGGGCTATTTGCTTGGCAGCATCAGATACACTGTATCCAACAGTATCCCAGCATCTCGCAGTGCGCATGAGCGACAGCCAAGCTCTCTGCATCAAGCTGCCTGGAGTGTAGTATTGCAGCTCTCTGTCTCTATGCCTGCTGCCGGTGAGTACTAGTTACTTTCTATCAGTGGAGGGTTTGTGTATTCTCCTTGCCTTGGGACTGATGCTGGGCTGCTGCATGGCCCCTTCACAGAGCACTGCAGTCCTCCAGCTTTCTCTCTTTCACTGCAAGGACACTGTGGGGCCCTCCTAGGGGTTTCCATATAACGTGTTGCCATTGTAAAATAAAAAGAGTGACCATATCTCACACAGGGTGAAATGGTTTCCTTTGTAAACAATGCTAAGGCTGTTGATAGAATTACTGATAATGGCTAGGCAGTCTTTAGCCAAGACTGTTAGTGTGTATTAGGCTTTTTAGCATGTAGCTGGAGCACATGCTTGTTATACTGGTTCTGTGATCCCAGGGGCCCAGTATGAGAAACGGGCAAACATTGGAAAGTACCCCTCTCCCCCACCGCCCATTCCTTCTCTTTATCTTAGTGGAGCTGTAGGCAGCGGTGCTGAGCTCACCAGATGAGGAATACATGGGGAGGAGCGTGTGCTGGCCAAAGCCTGTGTACTGCAAGCCCCCTAAACAGTCTGCTGTTTGTCACCAGGGTGAGATGTGAGAAGGGGGAGCCTGGGAGAAGAATGACTGCTGTTTGCAAGCAGACAAAAGAACCTGGAGTGGCCTGTGTGAATAACAGTTACTTAAGCAAATCTGCGCTAGAGCACAACTCCCAGCATGCTAGCCAGCTTGTAGCTGAGAAGTTAGAGAGGGGTCCTTTGAGATCATGTTTGCATGGACTGATGTTTGCAATAGAGGGGGAAAGTCTAGCGCATATTGTGTAATACTATGGGGATGCTTTGTTCCTGCACAATATCTCCTGTCCAGTACAACTCCCAACACTCTAATCAGAATGTAGAGGGTAGCTAGATACAGCTGCTAAGTTGGAATGGGAACTTGTAAAAAGTAAATAAAACAGCTGCATGAAATTTGGAACAGGCAAGAAATATGGCATCGGGTTACAACTCCCATTATGCATAGCCATGCCAGTTTGGGAATGGGAAATTACATGTTGCATGAACAATTGAGTTTTCTAAAAATGGATTTAGATTTGTCTAGATTTCAAGCACATTCTAGAGAAAAAAATGCTATCTTCACTGAGGGAAACACCATATATTATTAGCAGGGCTGGATTAACATAAGGGCTGATGGACAGCGCTAGGGAATTAGCTGTCGCTATATAAAAAAATAAAATAATTTATTTATAAAATATTTTACCAGGAAAGATACATTAAAATAAAAATAATAATAATGGGCATAAATATTGCATACCCTTATAAATGTATTTATTTTACTACTCTTCACTTGCTCTTGCTTAAGATGGATGTAGGGGAACAAAACTTGTGTGGACTGGCTGACAATGAAATTAGTTAAGGTAAAGCTGACTATGCGCACTGTGTGAATGCTCTTGCTGCTTCAGTCTCTCTAACACTGTGGCATGTTCCCTTTCTTCTACACTCACTACATACACCTTTTCTCTGTCCCAGACTGAATAACAGGAGCTTCTGCCTGCTAGTAAGAAGTTTAGGAGAGGATTGGACCAGCGAGTGCTAGGGTACAGTCCTTAGAATGCGTAGAGCTAGCGCATCATTAGAAGCATTTATGTCAACTCAGGATGCTGTCTGCACAGTATGCACTTGGTTGGTCATCCTGCATGATTGGCAGATGGCCAGACATGCATTAACGCCAGCCTGACCATCTAATTCTTCGTGCAGACACACCCCCTGTTTAGGCATGTTTGTCCCTTTTGGCGATTCTAGTTACGTGATTCACATCAATAGCCCACCCTTTTACCACGCCTACGGAAATACTGCTTCACCGGACACTAAGGCTAGGGGGTATGGATTTACTTGAAAGATGAAAGGGAGAGATTAGCACATAGGGTATGTGTTTTCTGATAGTTATATCATTTGAGTTTCCATCCAGCACCACCTCCACCAGATAGATGACGCTTGGGAGGTATAACCGTTTTAGTATTTTCTGTCGATAAGATTCTGTAATTAGACCCATCACAATTGTCAACACCAGGCTCAATGGGCTCTTAATCCTGCTTTGATTTTTAGATGTCTGGATACAATTAGTCAAGTACAAACAAGCAACCTGCGGCTGCGTTCTGTCAGAAAATCTATGTTCAACATAGGGAAAAAACTCTGATGTGTGAAGAATTGTGAAGAGTTGACAATGGAATAGCTAACTAAACCAAAATAATCAAACTAGGAGAATTCACCAGCCCAGTTACTTTTTCACTATGCTGTTTTGTTGTGGCCTAGAATTCTAAGTTCTTTTGTCAATGTTTTACAGTTTCAAATTTAGTTAGTAGGCCTCTTTCTTTTGGATCAGAAATACCAGTCAAAGCTCCTTGGAATTAAAACTCATACAGGGTTATTCACTAAAGGGAAAATTCAAAGTGAATTTTAAATGTTAGGCTAAAGTAGCATTTTTTCCCGTTCAGTTATTTTGGCTTTGGAATTTGAACTTCACGATGTATACTTCCTTTAGTGAATAAAACTGGATGAGTTTTAATTCCAAAGAGCTTTGACTGATGTTTCTGATCCAAGACATAGAGGTCTGATAAAATGTTCATGAAATACTCACATATTCCAATACAGACATAAAATATAGTAAAGACAAATTAGGGACTACTTTGTCTGATGCATTTTTCCTGTACTGGACAAAACTTGGTAAAAGGCAGAGCTACCACTATCAAGTTTCTTTTTTTCATTACCTCCAGCCATCACCAGTGGCGACTGTGAGGAAAAGGGCTTTGTGTATGGAGGTTCCCACGGGGTCGTGGGATCCTCCATAGAAATCAGTGATTTTCGTAGGTTATTATTATATCATATTATCTACATTTAGATGCTGTTGGCCCTTTAAGAATGATATATTTAAAAAGATGGATAACATTAACAACCAGGGCAAAAACTATGCGCCTAGTCATGCGTCTCCTTGCTTTTGTTTGGGATTTGCTTTAACAAAGGCAAACAGATCAAGTCTTTGCAGACAATTTGTGTCTTAATATATAAAAAACACGTAGTTGTTATGCTCTCCAGTCAGACTGTAACGGATGGATTTGTGACTGTAACAATGTAAAGATATGTAAATGAACGTGACATCGCTAGCAGAACATGACTGCATCTTTTATTTTTAAATCTGACAGGTGTTTCCTCAAATGAGGTGTAATTACATATACATTGTTTGTAAGCTCAGTGTTCTATCTCCTGTTGTCTTGGTTTCCTACTTACCCTCATCAGTTAAATGACAGAGGGGTAAGTAATGCGTGACAGTGCCTTTCACATCTTGAGTAAAACTTGATCGCAATAACATACAACATCGGAAATAATAATTTCTTCACAGTGCACGGCATTGTCTGGATGACATACAAGAGAATGGGATAGAAGCCTTGTCTGCGTGACATACAAGAGAATGGGGACAGAGGGGGCAATTAACTGGGTATCCCAAAGCAACACCTTTTGTCAACAAAGTTGTCCCTGTTTTGTCTTTAATTTAGTTTTGTCTGGAATTTCAATGCAGTCAACATGAGTAAATCATAAAGATTATTTACTAAAGAGGGTTTGCTAAAGAGAGAATTTTAATAAAATTTCAAATTTAGGGTCAAAGTAGCCAAATTCTCTAATACAGCTATGGTTTTCACTCAGCTACTCTGGGCCTTAAGTCAGTGTTCGGCAAATCCCAGGCGCCAGAGATTTGTGAGCCTGTTCAGCCTCTGAGGTGACCGGCTGCCTGAGAATGTAGGCGGGCAGTCGGCTCACGCAGGGCTGAGGCGGGCAGGCAGCTTGAGAGCTGAGGGAGGGAGGCGGGCAGCTTTATAACAGAATGTGCGCTTTGGTGAGGGAGCTGCTCTCTCTTGCGCACCCAGAATATGATGTCATTCCGGCCCCGAATCACTAAACAGCATTCTAGGGAGCAGACCAGGAAGATGACAGCAGCCACACTGGACCACAGAGAAAGCGGATCCACTCCAGTTCAGCCAATCCAATGCATCCTCATAGAAAAACATTAGGAGACTATTACACACGTGCGGCAAAATGCCATGCTGCGCAATGAACTTCTCCTCATAGAGATGCTTTGAATCAATGCATCTCTATGGAGAGCATTAACCTAGGTGCTGTACACTGTACAGCACTGACCCAGGAAGCACTTCTAAAGGCAGTCTGAGAGACTGTCACTAGAGGTGTTACAGACCGCAATGTAAATCCTGCCTTTAGTCTGACAAGTCAGTGTTTACATTGAAAATCGTGCAGAGAAAGTATATACACTTCAGAACAACTACATTAAGCTTTTGTGGTTCTGGTGACTATAGTGTCCCTTTAAGAATTTTATTTTTGATGTTGAAAAATCTGGCTCCTAACTTTTTTAGCTGGCTCCTAGATTTTAAGCAAATTTGTCAAGCCCTGCCTTAAAGATGATATTCCATTTGAATTCACATTGAATTCTCAATTTAGTGAATAACCTTGTGAATATGCATCTGTCATATGTGAGTGAATAGAGGTACTAGCAGTTTTGTAAGTGATTTTATTATTTAGACTCTGACAACAGTATATGTATGTCTGTGTGTCTGTCTGTCTATCTATCTATCTCCATTATTAGCAATTATATAGTGCCAACATATTCCGCAGCACTTTACAATATTATAAAGGGGGACATTTAACAATAAATGAGACTGTTACAAAATGTTACAGTGACAATACATTGCGAGATTGCATGTATTATCTTTAGATGAATGTATTCCTGATTAATTATTCTACTGTTATATGAAGAGTGCTACTTGCAAGTTTTGATCCAAGGGTTTCAACAACAAAAAAATAGCATAATACTAACATGAAACAAAGTAATGTAGCAAATAAATGTAGGGTAAAAGCACAATTTTATAGTTTGCTGTTTATAAATAAAATTTTAATTAAAGCAGTAGTGCATTTCAGTACTAGCCAACTATCAGTTTGAAATATGAATCCCAGTGCAGAACGTATGCTGTAGATCATTTTTTTCAAGGTATAGGTGGCACCCAGCTCTTTCTCCCACCTTATCATCTAAGATAATTCTGAGTCCACGTACCTTGCCGTAAAAGATCTGTAACAAAGTAATAGAGTTTTGGTCCCCCTATTAGCTTGTAAACACATACGTGTAATACGTTGTGGGAGGGAATTCTCATCTTTATGTCCTGGGACAGTAGGATATGTTTCACTCTTATATATTAAAATAGTTCCCTCTGCAGTAGTTGAAATTCTCAGACTAGAGTAGGGAATAGCTTTATCCCCGCAACATCTAATACGTGTGGTATTGGATGCATGCCACCTACTCAAGGTGAGGTCTAGTGGTAAGAAGCCTGATGTATTTATTTGAGACATTATCAATGGATTGAGTTGATCCGATAGGCCATGGGCATATTTGTAGATATCTGTATTCTTATTGAGATTCAAATCAGCAGTAAAAAAACCAAAACATTGTTACATTTTAAAAAACAGCAATGTGACATATTCACTTGCAGTAATCACAGTTTGCCAATTTTAGCCTAAATTGTACAATTCATTTGCCAATTCTTCAATTCAATACAATTCATTGTTCAGTGATCAAATTCCTCTGTCTTCTGTAGCTTTATCGAATCCATAATTCAGATTTGACCGAAGAACGAACGTGTACTTAAATAAAAATGTTAAACCTCATATGGAGATCACCAAATTACTATCATATTGCACGCATATGGAAATAATGTTGTGGTCTGTCAATGCAAAAATAAAACTATTTGGTTTAACTTAAAAGCTTTACAGATGGCAGAAGCTGAGCACTGCAAATCATTCTGTCAACACAAACTAAACTGCCAAGCGAGATCTGGAAAGGAAATGGCAAACATGCCTTCTCCCCCTACAGTCCAGTGATGGCTAACCTTTGATACGAGAGTTGTTATGAATTACATTCCCCATGATGCTCATGCATCCATTCGGCCCAAAACAAGCAGAATGTCAAAGACTTGCTTAAGGCAAATCCAGAAAGACCTCTAGCAGTAATATTGACTTACTGTCCAGATTACATATGTTAGGGGTAAATTTATATTTTGTCGCTTTTCTTTCTGTGTTCTTCCCTCTCCTTACAGTAGTATTTTTCAGCATAGAGAGCAATTGTGCATCTGTCATTTGAAATGCAATAAATATGTCACATTCTGTTCAAGGGGAAGGGAGAATCAAGGGAAACAACTGTATTTATTTTATATTTCTACATTATGTAGAAAGATTTGCATGCTAATTTGCTAAAGAATAAAAAAAATGATGGGCTTTTTGAAAAAGACAGCATTTTTAGGTTTGCAGTCTGACTTTATACCGCACTATTTAAAATTAAATCTACTGACATTAGTCACTACATTTGGTATCAGTATATTAGAGGTTTATATGAGATTTGTGATTCTACTGTTATAATTTACCAAAGACTGCACAACCTACATTTATAAGGTAACTCCATGACATTGGTCATGGTGCCTGGTGTCTGTATGTGCAGCATTTTGCTACGAAACGCTGGACATACAGAGATTAACACCACTGCTGCATTAGGTATAATTCCACCTCCGGTAGTGTCACTGGGTGTCAGTCAGGGCAGAACAAGAGTTCCAGGTAGACTAATAACAATTTTGTGCAAAATTGGCGCCTGATACCAGCACGCACAGCATGCTAGCGCCAGACAGTCAATGGCAGCACGTCCCCCTTAATGCCGCCCCGTTCTCCATTTCTCCTTTCAGACCGCCCCACTTGAGGACGATCTGGCCGCAGGAAGAACTTGACCTTTGTGATGGAAAAGAGGTCAATCTAAGTCCTTTACTTTTCACCGTTAACTTCATTCATAGAAAAGTGAATTGAGCTAATTGTTCTTGATTATAGCTTTCAGTAAATGCAGACTTCTTCTATTGGAAATTATGCTGAGGCTTGAATGAATAATAAATGTATATGTAAATGTCCATTGTTGGTAGATGGTTACCTTTTATACGTCTTAAACTTTGGTTTTAATAATTTCCTGGTGTCTGTTTCTGGAGTTTGTCACATTTGGGACAGTTTATAAAAGTGCAGAGAAATTTATAATTTATAATTATAAATGAGATGCATCTGATTGGTCTATTCCTTAGCATACACTGACAGTCTGGCCTGGGGAAAGAGGAGGGCTTGTAAAGACTGCAGACAAGAGATATGCAGCTTTTGCAAGCTATTTAGATAAAGCCCAAATGAAAATATGAATAATTAAATGTATGCATGTTTTCAGTGGCACTATTTCTACTAAATAGTAATTTAAAAAAAAAAAATTCAATGGGGATTCCTTTAAATGAAAACTGTAATGACTTAATTTGCCTCTGCTCCCTCACCACAATCTCATTAAAGAGGTGGGTGTTACACTTCTGTTACGCCCAGGTTATACTGCAAGCACCACAAAAAGGGTTGGATTAGCCCTTTAAGGACTCCATAATATGAATCAATCCTATAGTTACCCACATTTGGATCTAGTCATTCATTGGAACTGTCATCTCTGCATACAGTCTGGGTTCCGGAATTCTGAGCCCTGCCATGGGGTGCTTTATACTGTTCATGCTATGTTAATGTGTATGTTTCTAATTGCCTGTTTATCTTTTTTCTACATATCCTATAACTCTTATACTCTCTATTTTTCCTGCATATGTTCTAAAGGTTTTAAACATGGACTGATATTTGTGAGATTTCTCTATCTCTCTAAAGGCTTTTCCAGCTTCTGGTCCTAATAACGTGACTATTATTGAGCTATGTTGGCAACCTGAGCCATAGAATGACTGACCAGTGAGCCAAGTCCTATTAGATTCTGTTTCCTGTATCCTGATTTTCTCCTTGTCAACCTACATTCCAATGTTTTGTGGATAAGTTCATGTGAAGTCCATTTATTATCACTCACTAAATGCGTTTCAGAAAATTTCAGTGAATCAATGGATACTTTCCAGCAGCTCTTAATTTGGCAATATATTCATAATTTTGGGCCCCAGTCCAGTTGATTTTTTTTTCTGTTGTCCACCTTTTGGGTACGCTAAAGAACTATTCCCATAAAACGTAGCACAAACATACCATTGGATAAACCTACATACATTTAGGTACAGGAAAGCCCTAAACCAAACGGATTAAGAGCAATTCTAAAAATTATTTTCTCTCTCTTTGTAAAAACATATGATGCAAATGCAAAGCTAAAAGAGAATAGTTCTCACAAGCATTGACCCTACCACGAGCCTCACATAAAGCCTGACAAGGTGTGTGAATCTATATAATAAAAGCAAGGGGAAAATAAAACATCTATTCTCCCACATCTGTTTTACTCATTTGGCTTTGCAGTGTACGTAACATATTTCTTCATTTGAAACCTAGAGTTGCCAAGCTGACTAGCTGCAATCATTTAACTAGGCCAGGGGCAGGCAACCTACGGCACTAGTGCCACGCATGGCACTCGAGGTGTCTTTCCACGGCACTCAAGGCTGCTACAGCCAAACAGGCTCTGACCTATCAGGAGTCTCAGTGAAACTTCAGATATCTGCTGGTGAAGGAAAAGGTGGTGAAGGAAAATCCTCAATTTATGCATTGCAGCACATAGAGGAAATGATCTAAGATTACTTCCTCCCAGCACTTGTGAATGGGAATCCACACTGTAGTAGAGCAGCCTGCAGCTCCTGTCCTTGACCTGTGCCTGGCCAGCCTGGTCCCCATTGGAACCCAGGGAAGCCACACACACTGCTAAATATACACAGAATATCCACAATAACCCTTCCCTCATACAAATAATACGAACAGCACACACAAAAACAAACACACAATCCGCGTAAATGTAACCCGCTAACAATCCACATACATGCACACAATCCCACATGCAGCCTTTCACATGCAATACCCCAAACAGCCCCCACACACTACCAAACACACAATGTGACATATCCATCCACACACAATTCCAAAAGCAGCCCTCATACACAGCCCACATTCATATGTATCATACACGATACCACAAACTACTAATGAACATATACAATATAATAGCTCATATACGCACAAATACAACGATACAAAGCAATTACAGTAAAAATAACACAAGCAGAATACGGCAGCATACACACCTCAATTTAAAAAAATAGGATCGGCACGCTACGGGACAACACACTCCTATATCGGCACAGTGCTGCTAAAAGGTTGCCTACCCCTGAACTAGGCAGTGTAGAAGATCTCTGGTGATATGAAATGGCCATAGTACTTTCCCTGTTTCTGAAAATCCTGTCCAAAGACACAGCAACAGAGAACCGGGATGTTATGGTGATGACATAATAGTTCATATTGACATAATGCCTCCGTCGTATGTTTAACAAAATGCATCCACCTATCAATCTGTCTTCTTGTAAAGCTCAATGCATTTTTCTCTACCACTTCCCATTTGAAAAGGAAATAACAGTAACAGGACAAATATACGTGTTACTTTCCCAGCGATTACAGGTGTTTATCTCCAAAACCCAGTTCTCATGATTTTGCCTGCAGTCAAGTCCGTTTCTTTGACACCAACTTTATGCAACTCACCCAGGAGCTCAGATGCATCAATAACAAAATATACCCCTAAAATATAAAAGTGACATATGATATGTGTTACCTTATGCATGACCACCTGGCTTTATTTCAAGGGTACCATCGTACAAATGGACACTCTTAAACAACCATAAGCACTACAATTCACCTCAGATGGGGTTGGTCCAATGGCAGTAGGAATATTTCCAGTTTATATCAAACCATCAAAGGACAATGTCGAGCTCCAGTTTGTTGTGGTGGTTGTGTTGCTTTAAGTGTCCCTTAAAAGAAAGACTCCAAGCACCATAACCACTACAACCTTCTGTAATAGTTATGGTGCCAGGAATGTCCCAGCATCCCCCATACTTTTAGGAGTCAAACCTTTTTTGAATAGTTTGACTCCTAACAGTATGGGGGATGCTGGGGCAGAAGGTTATGGTGCTTGGTGCTTCTTACCTGGGGTCAGCTAGGCATGACTTTTCATATCCACTGCTAGTGTAGGAGAGCCAGATGTTCCTAAAGTGGAACTTCTGTTAATTCAACTTTGCAGAGCAGGGCCTTCCTCATTGGTTATTATTATTATTATAATTATTTTATTATTTATATAGCGCCGACAAATTCCGTAGCGCTGTACAATGGGTGGACTAACAGACACATAATTGAGATCAGACCACTGATGTACAGTAACAGAGGGGGTTGAGGACCCTGCTCGATGAGCTTACATGCTAGAGGGAGTGGGGTATAGTGACACAAATAGCTGATGCTCCCAACCATTGAATTAAATCCTGCAATGTAGGTAACTCCTCTCGAGCTGTAGTGCTTATGGTGCATGGAGTGCTTCTATAATGCTTTTTCTGTATCTGTTTGGTACTAATTTGAACTATTGGGATTAGCACGAATTTGAAGCTCAGTATTTAGGATTGATTGTACATTTGGAATGATTGCGAATTTAGAAAAAACACCTGATATTTTGCCTGGAATTGCCTTGAATTGCCCAGATTTGGTTTTCGATAAATTTAAAAGATAACTTAAATTTTAAAGGGAAACTATATGTTATACATATATAATAACAATATCATAAAAACATCTTATGCTTTATGTTCGAGTCACTCTATGCACCATCACCTTTGTAATTATGTAACTATGTGATGTTGCTTAGAGTGACTCATATGAATACACACACTTACTTCTGTGTTTTGTATATCTGATAATGTTTTGTTACTTTTTAAAAGCCTCTTTTCCTGTTTTTTTTTTTTTTGTTTATATTGTTTCTATATACTTATGTTTTGTCTTAGATTCTGTAACATTAATACAGTCAAAATATTTGAAATATATAAAAAATATATTTTTTAAAAACAAAAGATGGCTTTTGTGTGATTTTCATGCATGAATGTTATTAGGATGGGAAAATAATTCAGCATGTTATGTGAGTGCTTAGAATACATAAAATAAAATAAAAAATAATAATTCACATTTGTATTCCAGTCCTTGTACGCACCATTAATAAGACCATCCATTCTTCACACGTAGGACCAGTGTAATTCTACCTGTGGCTTTCTGTAACAATATCCTTGAAAACATAGTGTAAGTGTATAGGGAATTAGAAGTAGAAGACACAGGTGGGTTTTAGTGCCACTCTATTACTGGGCTATTGTTCCATTATCTAGAGAGAAAACAATATCTTGTATGTATGTGCGTTTCCATAGATTGCATCATTTTGTATGATTTAAAGCCACATCTGTTACAGCAGCCTGCAAATAAAAGGATTAGTGCTTTTGCTTTGATTTGACTAGACGTTCTTTATTAGAAACAATTACAGAGGGTTTCTTTTTGTGAAATGTTTATATGTATACATATATATATACATATATTTTAGATTTTATATATTTTTTCCTTAATCCACGATATCATTTTCTTTATCGTTCAGTACAGAATTTTCCTTATAGCAGATAGTAAGCATTCCATTTCTGTCAAAACCTTTGATCAAGGTTACTTACTAAACCATAAGTTGTAAAGAAATCACCAGTGAATTACATGTTGGAGGCCAAAGTAGCAGAATTTGAAATAAATTCTCCAGTGCTGATATTTTTCTCGACCTGGAAAATTTGTGAACTAAAATTTGTAATCTTCTTGGGAAGTCCCCTCAATCCATGGTTCCTTGAATAACCCTGGGGGGTTTATTTGCTAAACACCAAATTGTAGTAAATTGCAAAATTTAGACCAAAAAGGGGTGTATTGGAGATTTCTCTAAATCATCTATATTCAATTCAGCCTACATTTTACAGTTTGATTTATAACTCCCCTCAATTCAATATTACACGAAGAAACCATTCAGTTGTGTTTTATTTGAGTTGAATACTCTTGTACGCCATACGCCTGCCTCCTTAGCCACACCCCCTCATGTCAGAAAGACTTCCTTATCAAATGTATGTACACTGTCTCAGCCGAATAGCACTGAGTGAGCTGCTTTTGATTCACAACCTGGTTGCAGACAGTCAGAAGACCTGCAAACAGGTAGTGATATCCTTTCTATATGTCTCGTAGGTTTCCTCTCATTCTAATCATTGTTGTTCTGACCATTTAGTTCTGTCAGTGGCTGAGCTGTGTGTATACATTTGAAAAGGAAGACTTTTTCTGGAATGAGTGGGCTTGGCTAAAAAGACAGGCCTGTGATGCAGCATTCTGCAAAACATTTTTTTGTGAAAACTATGAAGATTTGAGCATGCAAAGAATACTGGATATCAATTGCATCAAAGTAGTATTGGTGCCTGGAGCGACCATTTCAGGACACAGTAACACAACTGAAAGCAAAGGTCAGCTATGGTCATACCTGCCAACTCTGGTGTCCTGCTTCCTTTTCAATCATGTGTCACTCGCTCTGCCCTAAAGGGGTGGGCCCACCTGGAAAGAGAGCAGGTCTGCCTAAGTTAATGGCAGGTCAGCCTGGTGGACTGCCTATCCATCATACAGGCCGGCCCACAAAGGTCAGATCCTGCATGTAACATAGTTTCAATGCTCGCAATCACATCTATTGATTCGCTCAAGCTTTGAATGTTGGGGACATTTCTCAAGTGTCCCCAAAAGCGGGACAGCAGGGAACTATGGAAGAAGGGCAGAAAGCGACCCGAAAATCAGGAATCACCTGACGAATTTGGAATGGTTGAGAGGCTCATATGTTTTCAGTTTGGTTATCTGGCCTATAATTTGAAATTCAGTTTGAATTCACTATGACCTCACACTTCAGTGAATAACCTTGTAAAAGCTAGCTATAGATTAGTGGGGTATTAATAAAGTGAGAATTCAAAGTGAACTTATTTAAAGTCAAAATAGTCATGTATGATTTTAGTTCTGCTATGCTGGCATCACATTAGGCATTTACTTTAAATTATTACTTTAATAAATATTCCTGTATGTTGTTTATTTATATTTCATTCTAGATTAAGCTGGAAAAATATACAAATCTAATTGTATATTTTTAAATTTAATCAAAACAGCAGTTTTGCGTTAAAATGTTAAATTCTCATAATTTTTCCACAATTCCCACTTCAGTGACAAGCAGTGTCTCCATGTCCCTGTCTTGCTATGGTTACTGTAAAGCATTCCTTCACTTTCATTCTATTTACTAGGTCTCTTGTGCTTGTATGGAGCCTCTAATGCTGTAATCCTGGTTACAATTTCTAATCCCTTGGCACTTCACTAAAATAGTTATCAGATTAGCTCCAGTCAAATATTTACTAACAGGCAAAGTAAAGACAGTCTTTGAACTAGTATTCCAGATCTGTTCACATTAGTAAAAGTAGGAGAATGAAAAATGCCTGCTTCCTTTGTGTCCTTTTCAGGTCATTATAGAGTGACTACAAAAAATATTATTAGTTATATAGCGTGACTACAGGCACATCTGTGCTTAATGTATTTCCAGGTGTACTGTACAAGTGCCGTTCATTCATATGTCGCATGTTCAGTGTTAGTGCAAGGTCATGAGCCATGAATCCTTTCATAACAAATTTTCATCTGAATTTACTCTAATCCTTTTTAAATATATATATATTTTTTTAATCCAGAATGCTCTATTAGACATTAGTTTTCTGTCCCCCCACCTCCCCATCATGTAGGAAAATAACCAATAAAATTACCTGGAATCCAGCACCAGGTTAATGTCTTACAATGGGTTTCTCACTCTACGTTTGAGTGTTCCGTTCTCACTGGGTGAAAGCAGGGATGGGATGGAGTGGGTGGGGTGGACAGTGGTGGGTTTTAGAAATTAATTAAATGGGGGGATGTTTAGAAATATAGGGTAGTGGGGATTGAGAGAGGGAGGGAGGAGTGACCAAGCTTCCTCTTGCATGCAAGGGTAGACATTAGCTACGTCTTTTGCCTGCACCCAGTGCGCACTGATGACAGATGTATTTTATGCACAGACTTAATATTAGCCAGCCTGGAACTAGGGAGGTGCATGGGCAAAAAATTTGGTTCGGTTTGGCACTTCCGAAAATTTGGGACTTCGGCAATTTGGCACTTCTTTTCGGCACTTCCGAAATTCGGGACTTGGGCAATTCTGAACTTCGGGTTGGCACTTCGAAATTAGGGACATTTGTAAGCATCTCTCTCTTGCCACCACAACCACTTACACATCTGTAGGGCTCCCTAACCCTACCCCTACCCCTAATCCACCTATAACCCTACCCCTAAGGCTACTCCTAACCCCTAACCACCACAACCACTTACACATCTAGGGTAAGGAGTAGGCGTAGGGTTAGGGGGTAGGGGTAGAGTTAGGTGCCCGGACTGTCACCACAACCACTTACACATCTATAGGGCTCCTTGTGCCAGGAATTAGTTTATTGGTCTAGATTTGTGCCATCATTCTCGTGATTTTCCCTACCACTCTTGTTTTGCCACTTTTCAGAAATCCAAAGCACTTCGGCACTTCCGAAATTTGGCACTTTGCCAATTCGGTCATTTGTACGCATTTACATTCGGAACGAAACGAATTGCTCATGTCTACCTGGAACATTGTTCTTTATTGCCTAAGACACGTGTGCTGGGGCTGTAATTAACTAATATATCTCTATATCTGCAGTGTTTCAAGCAAAAACACTGCACATACAGATTATCACCATGACCACTTCTAAAAGCAGAAATGGTCATGGTGATTGGAGAAACTCTAAAAAAAAAAGCCCAGCTGTGTCAATATAAAGCTGGTTTAGAGAATTTTTCATATAAGTATTTTTTGCTCATATTTTGCAGTTTGGTTTTCCATTAATTAAAGTTCCGTTCATAATGAATATAGATTTATGTGTAGTGTAGGGGCATGTATCCCACAACATATTAGCAATGTACTAATACTTATGTATCTTTGTCCCTGATACCTTTAACCCCTTAAGGACCAAACATCAGGTATAAAAGGGAATCATAACATGTCACACATGTCATGTGTCCTTAAGGGGTTAAAGTAGACATCCATAAAATATATTTTTATTCTCCGGCTTAAATAATGGTTTAACCCCAAAGTGATAGATCTGGTGGCCTATCACTCTGCTTTCAGTCTATCTGTAGCTCTCCGTTTACAGAACTACTTGAGAAATGTCCTATAAAGCGTCTAAAGAGCGAGTTATTTCATACACTCAACCACCACCACCACGCCACATGTGGATTGTGTGAATGGTAAAGGGGGGGAGCACATTTATTGTGTCTCCACTTAGGTAATAGGGATCTGAGGGATCCTCACACATTTTATGCAGTTCCCTTCAATGGTACCAGATGCTCCTATTGGCTTATATATTCTTAAATGGAAATGCCTCTTAATATATGCATCATACAAATCACTGTTGCTTTGTCTTATTCTTATTTTGCCTGTGCTTCGTTCATTTTTTGCTGTCTCTGTACAAGTGTGCGACTTGCTGTGAATTTGTCAATGTGCAGCTGTGCTTACTAATGCTATCTTAGCTCTCTCTTCCTGTGTAAAGCAATAGGCAGGTTGGTAGTGTTATGTTGTGAATGGCTTGTGCAGACTTTGCAAACAATATGCATCTGTATGAGCTAAAAACAAGGTGTTCTTTTTGCATAATGCTCCATCAGATGTACTACTTTATATATATAAAGTTGTTATGGTGGCGTATGGTGTTTGGAGACCCCTAGGCTCACGCTTACCTCAAGGGGTTGATCCGTTTTCAAACGGTTTAACCTCGAAGTTGCCTCAAGCACTGGTCTCACCTCCCCCCCAGCAGCATCCAGCTTCTGAAATTTCAGATTCAGGAAGAGTGGAGTGCCTTCGGGCAGGGGCGCCGATGATTTGCTGAGAGCATGAGCTGACTGCTCTCAGACAGTCAGTGGCACTTCTGCCCGGGAGAACCCCACTCTTCCTGAATCTGAACTTTCAGAAACCGCAAGGGGGAGCCGAGACCAGAGGTGGAGGCAACTTCAGGGTTAATCTGTTAAATAATGGTTTAATCCCTAAAGGTAAAAGTGTGCCTGGGGGTCTCAGGGGAGCATAACAACTTCATTTAGATTAAATTGTTTTGGTGCCTGAAGTGTTTCTTTAAGTAATGCAGATTGTTATATATGTTTTCTTTATAGGCAGTAGTGTTTTAGGAACCAAAAAAAGGGATCAGGCACCTCAGTCTATGTTGTCAGTGTAGTTTTATACCCAGGGTGGCGGTAGTTTACGTTGGTCCTGTAATAAATGAACAGAAAGAAATCCCTGCTGAAATTTACACCCAGAATGTATTGTTAAAGGGATCCTATAGTGCCAGGAAAATGGCTTTGTTTGGGTTAAAAACCCTTCAGTCACTTACCTGAATCCAGCACCGATGTCCCTCGGTGCTGGGTCAGGCTCCGCCCACACAATGGCTGCGCACGCATTAGACCTTCCCATAGCAATGCTTTCCTATGGGGAAAATCTGACGCTGGAGATCTGTGAGGACGTCCAGCATCAGATAACGGACCAAAAGTCTGTTTGGATTCCTGAAGCCCTCTAGTGACTGTCTGGTAGACAGCAAAAGAGGGCAGACTTAGAGCCGCAATGTAAACATTGCAGTTCTCTGGAACTGCAATGTTTTACATTGCGGCACTAAGTGCAAAAGGGTCACAGCACCCAGACTACTTCGATTAGCTGAAGTGGTCTGGGTGGCTATAGTGTCCCTTTAACGAAAGCAGATGCCGTCTGCAATGTATGTAATATGGCTGTCATCAATACATTAACTGCAGCTCTCAGAACGCAGACATGCTGTACTTTAATGTGCTATTGGCATACCCTATTGCTGCTCCTAAAATGCTTATTTCTCCACTATTTTATTGTAAAGAAAGATAAGACATTCAATTCAAAACTTGTACATCTTGAAAAACAAGCTAGACGAAAATATGTCTGACTTACAAGATTTGGTTATCTGTCAAACAATCCAGCTAGTCTAAAGGGACCATCTAAGCACCATAATTACTGTAGCTCATTGAAATCGTTACAGCACTAAAAAGATGTGTGCAGATTTTTATTTCATAATCTCCAATGCTCAACCCCCCCAACTTTACAACATTGTCTAACTTCCTCATTCAAATTCTTGTACATCATAAGTACAAAGTGATTGGTACAGAGAGCTAGGCTATAACCAATATTAATGTACAGTTTTCTTTTTTTCATATTTTTGGATGCTGTTTTCTTGAGCAGAATTGCTGTAATATATTGTATTATTGTGTGTTGCATCATAAAAGGTACATTTCTTGATGTAACGGCATTCTGATTTTTGTTAACATTCCATATGTAAAACTCTAATTCCAGGTTAATCTGCCATGACTACAGCAAGATATAGAGCTACGTGGGAATTGGCATTAGACCCACTAGTTTCCTGCAAACTTTGCCTCGGTGAATTCCCAGTCGAACAGATGACCACCATATCACAATGCCAGTGCATTTTCTGTACTCTGGTATGTATAGCTTTCCTTTTTACAATTTCAGGGAGGGTTACATTTTCTATATTTCAACATTGAATAATTACTGGAAATAGTTTTTTATTTGTTTTTTTAGCACACCAATAGTTTCCATGACAATATAAATGCCATTTATTATCATAAAATACTTTGATCTTACCTCCCAAGACTAAGAGGGCCAGTAGGGAATATGGGAGTGACAAGGCAACATTGTGAGAGAAACCTCCTGGAAAACAGGGCAGATCTTCCATAAAAGGGATTAAAATAATTTTTCAGTGTACCGGAAAGCCCCACTTTGGTTAACCCATGCACTGAGAATTGTTTAAACTCTCTTGCATGCGATGAATGCCCTAAGGTAAGTTTTCAAAGAGCAAGTGTATCTAATGATGTGCTAGCTCTGCGCTTATTGGGAGCATTTTGATGGTATTCCAGAGAACAAGCTCTAGTCACTTGAAACGGGACCACAATTCAGGATTGCCGTGTTTAATCAAGGTATTTTGGAAGGTATGGAATGATGGATATATATTTTTGAAACCCAGATGACTACAAATAGGAGAAAGCATGTACCTATTTATAACAAACATTAATATGATATAACTTCTATTGTGTGTCTGACCTAAAAAATATTTATATTTTAGCTTTAAAATGTTAACTGATTTTAAAAGAACCAAGGAAGTCATGTTTTGGCATATTCATAATTATATCCAGGGAGTTTGCTTTATCTGCTGATAGGCTGGGGTAGACATCAATACCAGATCTGTCCACTCCGAAACCTGATCTGCCCCTACGTATTAGTACTTTGTACACATTACAAGACACCTAAAATGATTTAAATGGACAATAAAACAACTTACACTTAATGAAGCGGTTTTACTTTATAGATCATGCCCTTGAAGTCTCACTGCTCAATTCTCTGCCATTTAGGAGTTAAATCACTTTCTGTGCAGCCCCAGCAACCCCTCCCCTGGCTGTGACTTACACAGCCTGAATGAACAAAATGATTTTATTTTCAATCAGCTGTTAACTTACTTTACTAGTTTTTATCTCTCTGTACATTTTTATCTGCTGTGTAAATAAAACTTTAATTAGACACAGGAGGTTTTGGTTAATTTTTATCTTAGGACTTATGCCCTACTAACATAATAGACAAGGAAGAAATGGTTCAGCCGCCTCTGTCATTGGCTGTGTAGAGAGCTTTGGCGAAAGAGACAGTGGTTTGTAGTTGCTGGACTAGTGTCTGTCTAATAATAATCATTAAATCATTTTATCTGCAGCCAAACCAAAAGTAGATATTTCATATGAGCCACTATTTCAAATGTTTAGGATTTGGTTGCCTACAACATGTAATTATTGTTAGAAAAGCAATATCGAAATCTATAAATATGTGTTATGGTGGTAAACAAGTAACTTAATATACATGGGGCACTGTAGGGCTACAGTGCCAGGGTCAAGAAGGAATTGCTCTGGACTTCAAGCCTACAGCCTGCATGGGATGTGGGCCACAGCAGTGCAGCACAATTCCTTTGACAATAAAAAGCAACTGGGGGTAGTCTGGTATATCTTTTAACACAGGACTGAAGAGGCAACTTGCTTGTATTGTGCATGGACTGTTCTGATCCAGAACTGTATGGGTTTGTGCATGGACTGATGGCTCACAATCTCAGTGATATCCAGGTATTGACTGGCCTACTGGGATATTTACCAGGAGACTGATGCATCTGAGGCTGAGTAGACTGTCAGACTGTGATGAGTATGTATGTATTGTGTGGAGGTGTTGGCAAGTGGCTGAAGGATTAGATGAAACAGTGGTCAAACACTCATCACATTCGCAGGTTGACACTTTGGGATCACTGGGAACAGTCTGTGTCACTTAGGCACGCACAGCTCTCTCTGAATGGTTTTGCTGATGGAGGTTGTGCTGGTTGTGCTGATGAAGGCTGCAGGGATGATGTCATACCCAGTAGCGTCAGCATCCTCTATTTAATCTCTGGCAAATCCATTATTTGCATGTGCTGAGTGAGAAGGACCATCCACACAGAGGTCTGTCTTTCGTGCATATAAAAAGGTCATTCGTTTGTATTTGCCCATTCGTTTGGATTTCAGCATGTTGAAGTGATTATGGTGCTTGAATCGTTTCTTTAATGTTCTCAGCTACTTCCCTGTTCCTCAAAATTTACTAATGCACCAAAAATGTGTTATTTTTGTATCCCCTTAGAATTTTGGGGGGTTACCTATCTCCGTGGACTGTTCTTTTTGTAACTTGCTTTAGTTTCACAATATCAAATGTTTCAAAATATAAAGTAAATATTAAGTTTACATTTACTTCAGCACATCATTAAGTCATTACTATTTATGTTATTTCTTTTGACAGAATAATAAAATTATAATAATAGTAATAATAAAAATTATTTCATGACAGAAAATTGTTTAACATTAGGAGCAGGATAAAATAAAATAAACTTGTAATTATAGAAACTGTGAAAAGAGCAACAGGGCAGCTTAGCTCAGTTAATAAATAAGATTGTGTATGTGTCTAATAAACTCCAACATTGGGTAATGAATGCTAAGGAAACTTTAATTTCAAATGACATTTTGTGTATAAATATGAGAGTGTTTAAGTAATTCTGACAGTGAGATTATGCAGTCTACAGTTATGTTGTATCTCTTTATTAGTTACACAAGAAAACACAGTGTTCTAGGTGAATTGGTAATGCTAAGTGTCATATGTCAGTTCAACAGGCATGTCACGGTTTATTGCAAGTGGCATAATGCCATTTAATTTGTATAATAAGGGGTGGACGATCTATAGCTCGCCAGTGTTTGCGTAACTAAAATTCTTATTATCCTCAGCCAATTTCTTACATTTGTCAGGGATTTATTTACAGCAGTCAGCTTTTTTCATTACTATTACCATTGATAGTGTGTTGCAATATGGAAAACACTAAAAGACCACTCATACCCACTAACATAGTTCTCTCTGCCTCTGCTTGTTAATGGAATGTGGACCATCAGGGGGATGACAAGTGACATGGAGGTTTTTTCGTGTATTATTATTAAAAATAATTGAATTGCAAAGTATATTATTTACTAATTTAATTGTTGGAGCTTCCCAGCTTATTAATTTGCTGAAATCGGGTGATAAACAGATATTTAGTGGCTGATCTAGGTTTCTAAATGGCCAGTTATGGTGCCAATAATTCATGCACCAAAGTAATTTACACTGTATGACATCGACATCAGACCCAGGGAAATGCACAGATATAGCCAAAATTAAAAAAAACAGAAAATGCAGTAACTGCGCTAATACTCATTAGTAGGTCAGGAATTTCTTGTTGCTCTCAATGGAAGTTGCACAATGTGACCAGTGTCATTGTCTCCAGTATCATCGATGCTAGGCTGAAAGCCTCATCTAACCTCTCCCCATTGCGCTCAGCTCGTCATTTTTATCCAGGTTGGACATAATCACACAGAATTGTAGTTTCAGCCTTACCCGTGTGGATGCAAAGAGTGTGCTGGGGAGAATAACAATTTTTTTCCAACTGCTCCAAAACTAACAGTTATAGCACCCTAACCAATACAAATAATTGAAATGGTTATGTAACTTAGAGTGCCCTCTTAAAATTGCATAAACCACTCAATTTACATGGTTCAGTTAAAGGGTTTCTCCAAGCACTATACCCACTTCAGTGATTCGTTTTGTAACGCTATGCATGCTTTGTTTCACCTCTCTGCCGCTGGTGGTATAACTCCACCTCTGGTAGTGTCACTGTTAGTGGTTATGATACTTGGAGTAACCCTGTAAATACCTTGCAACATAGCACAGGCATGTGGTCTAGCACGTCAGATAAAGAAAATAAGTATACAGTGTTTTTATAATCTCTGATACGGGGCTGTTAATGTGCTGTAATAGAATATTTCTTTATTATTAATTACCAAATTTTTACTTGATTTTATATTACTGGCTATAAAAACTCTGAGTATTTGAAATCATTGGGTATTGTAAACACAAATAGATATATGTTCTTCGTAGCAGTTTTTACATATTATGTGCACACTTATTATGCTTTATTAGTATAGCAAAGATCTGACCATACCTGGTTTTTTTAACAGTGTTTGAAACAATATGTTGAGCTTCTAATTAAGGAAGGCTTGGAAACCGCTATTAGCTGCCCCGACGCTGGCTGTCCTAAAAGAGGCCATTTACAGGAGAATGAGGTAAGATCATTTGGAAATTAGATAACAAGAAATAAAATGACTGTCTGTCTATTCGTCAGTGTCTTTGGAAGCACAGAATGTGTTAAGCTTGTATTAGTCTTTTTTTTCTGTTCTGTTCTTTCCCCTGTTTTTATATGTTCTATTAAGTAATAGAGGTCTATGTCAAACTCATTTTGCAATGTTCAAGACTATTCCTTGTAGCCTTATCTTGATACGTGTGCACATGTATTTCACAAGATTCAAATCCGGTTTATAAAAGCAGTAGTGAAAGTGAACAATTAGTATTACAACAAAAGCAGCTCAGCATTATCCAGTCTAATAAATGTATTAGTGCATTATAAGATAATGTGTTACATGCTTTTGGATATTTGCCATCATATAATAACCAGTGCGATCAAAATGGATTTATAAGAATTCTTCTGAATATATATTGGTGAAGTGTTTACAATATTTATTTTTAGGTAATAATCATTCTGTTATTTTCAGAAATAATTTCTTACAAAACAATATTTTTGCAATAAAAATACTTCTGTGAAACTGTCGCTATACTTACATGTATTCACGAATCTGCCTTTCAATAATTAAAAGGTCACTATAGTCACCCCCTCAATGAAGTGGTCTGGGTGCAGTGGTCCTCTCCTTTTAACCTTACAATCTAAAACATTGTAGTTTTCTAGAAACTGTAATGATTACATTGCAAGGTTAAAGAACCACTATAGGCACCCAGACCACTTCAGCTCAATGAAGTGGTCTGGGTGCCAGATCCCCCTGGTTTTAACCCTGCAACTGAAAACATAGCAGTTTCAGAGAAACTGCTATGCTTATATTGAGGGTTAATCCAGCCTCTAGTGGCTGTCTACTTGACAGCCACTAGAGGCCACTTCCGCGATTCTCAGTGTGAAGATCTCACTGAAATGACAAGTAATGCTTTCCTATGGGCGGATTGAATGCGCACGTGGTTCTTGCCGCGCATGCACCTTCGGCGCTGATGTTGGCAGGGGGAGGAGAGGTCACCAGTGCCGGGGGAGCCCTGTGCTGGATTAAGGTAAGTGGCTGAAGGGGTATAAACCCCTTCAACCCAGCGGGAGGTGGGGACCTAAGGAAGGGAGGGAACCTAATAACTCTATAGTGCCAGAAAAATGAATTTGTTTTCCTGGCACTATAGGGCTCCTTTAAATCCATGTCTTGTAACTGTGATACTAACAACCACCAGAGGTGCTTCGTCGGCACAAGACATGGGAGCCCATAGAAAAGCATTGAATTCAGTTCTCTCCTATGGAGAAGCTTGATTGTGTGCTAAGTACTCACTGTGCAAACTCATTCGATGAGGAGCATTGATTGGACTATCACAGAGGAGGCCAAACCATCTCCATGATGTTGAGGGAAAAAGAAGATGAAAGGTGAGCATTGCAAAAGTAGATCATTTAATTTTTCCATTTTTATTGCAAACAGTGGGACCCCTATATTTATAGGAAACGGGGAAACTATAGCATTAGGAATACAGGTTTGTATAACTAATGCTATAATGTTCCTTTAACTTAATACATTAGAAGGATTACAAGGCATATTTTTAAATATAAGCAAATTCCCCAATAGAACATTTTTCCAAAATAGATTTTAAGGTGACATACATGCTTTAATGTATCTTAGTTTATTTCAAACTATAGGTGACCTATTATCAAGAGTGTTGGCAATATGTGATTTAGTGGTTCCGTTTCCCTCCAGTTGTTACAATGTATAAGATGTGATGGATAGTTGGGGATCCAGTAGTGTTTATGTGTTAAATGTATTTTGATTACCTTTTTTTATTTCCTTCTTCTTAACAGATTGAGTGCATGGTTGCATCGGATATAATGCAGAGATATAAAAAGTTGCAATTTGAAAGGGGTATGTATCCTGCACTATTTCATTGACAGCAGATAAAACAGAACTGCCTGACTTAGTCTGCCCATTTCCTATCTAAATCATCCTTCATATTATTTCATGCTTAAAGGACCACTCTAGGCACCCAGACCACTTCAGCTTAATGAAGTGGTCTGGGTGCCAGGTCCAGCTAGGATTAACCCATTTTTTCATAAACATAGCAGTTTCAGAGAAACTGCTATGTTTATGAATGGGTTAAGCCTTCCCCCTAATCCTCTAGTGGCTGTCTCATTGACAGCCACTAGAGGCGCTTGCGTGCTTCTCACTGTGATTTTCACAGTGAGAGCACACCAGCGTCCATAGGAAAGCATTATGAATGCTTTCCTATGTGACCGGCTGAATGCGCGCGAAGCTCTTGCCGCGCGTGCGCATTCAGCCGACGGGGAGGAGAAGAGGAGGATCGGAGGAGGAGAGCTCCCCGCCCAGCGCTGGAAAAAGGTAAGTTTTTACCCCTTTCCCCCTTCCAGAGCCTGGCGGGAGGGGGACCCTGAGGGTGGGGGCACCCTCAGGGCACTATAGTGCCAGGAAAACAAGTATGTTTTCCTGGCACTATAGTGGTCCTTTAAGAAAGCAATGTTTCTATCCAAACCCTTCTTGAAACTGTTAATTGTATTCCACTCTACTACCTCTATTGGCAGTTCTATGCTTCTATATTCCTTTCTGTAATAGAGTTAACGATATCCACTTGTGTTCTAGTTCTTCTCTTTCTACAGAAATTGTTTTGCGCTGTATGTTATTTTATCCCTCGAGGGACCCCTAAAATTCAATCACATCATTCCTATCTCTACTTTGCTTCAAGCACACTCTCCCTGTCTCTCCCTATAAATTTATGCCTTTCTTGACATGCACATTTTGCACCATTGCTTGAGTCCTTATTTATTTATTTTTTGAGTATCAAAGGGGCATTCTATGCACCATAACCACTACAACTCAGTGTACAGTTTAAAAGTGCAAACACTTTGTGAATGAACGCCACTGTGTGTTATTTTTTATCAAACTGTTTGCGATCAGTAGTTGAGTACAAAAGCCGTCAGTTGTTGCTTGCTCTCCCTGTCACCCACAGCGTTTTCTATAAAGCAAGAATAAAATTAATTCTATTTTTCTACATTTACTTTGTTAGTGGTTTGTTCTTTGGCGTACTCTGCTTGGAATTCGGTTGCAGATTTATAGAAAGCTTACCTTGTGAAATGACTTTCCCTTTTAATATGTACATTTTTTCCATTATTTTACTTTTTTTTTTTTTTATAGTTTCATACTGCATTAAATGAATGAATAGAATGCATTAAAAATTTGTAAAAGACAACTTTGGGTTGATTTGGATTCTATTAATGTAATCTCAGTAGATGTTTAGAGTTGTGCATTGTTTCATAATTACTGTAGAATAATATCAGTATAACTCCTCCATCCATACATTTCTGAATGATAAAAAAGCTACTTTTTTTGCCTTAAATTATTAATATCTTTTATAAAATAATATATATATGCCTTTGTGTTAATATTATAGTAGGTGCTTTTTATAGTTATTAGAAATCTAAGGCAAAAAAATACAGATTTTTTTAATATATATTGTATAAAGCCTAGTTTCGCAGCCATTTAAATGTCTTTTTGCATTTGTCTCATTTTTGTGTATTTTTTTTTTCAGTTGTTTGTGACTTTCTTTTATTGCCAATTTCTTTAAAATGCAGCAGAAGAATGTGTCAGAGATTGTCTACATGTTTAACTGTGGGTATCCCCTACAACAATTATTGCAGTCATTTATTTATACAATACAATACAAGACAATGCAGTTTGTATAATTAAATATGAGTATACATTCTCTGTAAATACAAAAATAATAATTCAAATAAATAGAATCCAGTATCCAGAAAGGTGTGAACGTTAGGATCAAAATACTTTGTTAAAGGGACACTAAAGTCACCAGATCATCTGCAGCTTCATGCTGTGGTTCTGGTGTCTGCATCCTGTAATTGATAGAACTGTAAACACTGCCTTTTCAGAGAAAATTTAGTGTTTTTATTGCTGCTTAGTAACACCTCTTGTGGCAGTCGCTCAGATGGCCACTAGGAGTGCTTCCACAGTGTGCAGCACCTACAGTTGACGTCTCCACGGTTTTCATGGAGACACTGAACGCTCCCCATAGAGATGCATTGGTTCAATGCATGTCTATGAGGAGATGTTCATTAGCACAGTGTTTTGGCGTGCATGCACGATAACCTCCTAATTATTTCCTGTGGGAAAGTGTTGGACTGGCTGAGATCATCAAGATTAATGATTTCAGCCATGGAGGCTGGGCAAGCAGTGAGGGAGAAAAAATAAGCTTAATCACCCTCATTCTCCACACATAGGGGGCGCGGGGAACCTAAAAGATAGTTCATGTTTGTATTTCTAACACTATAGTTAACAGAGTCAATAGAAAATCATACATTAGAATTTCTTTTTTTTTTATAGATAACTCATATCATATCATAAGCAGAAGACAGGGAAGATGCAACTGTGAACAGATTCTAAATGCCTCAGTTAGACATCGAGCAGAGAAACAAACATTAATCACATCTAATATTAAAGTCCACATCTGATTCTAAGAGTATTACTACTCAGTAGGTCTTTGGTCCAAAAAATTGAACATGTAGACTAAAATCATAGATAGATATAATGCATGTAACAATATATATTTATTAGGTTTGGGATTTGGGAAAGCATTATATAACTAGATATTCTTTGGGTAGGTGCCAGCACCTGAAAACTTGATTTAGAATAATTACAATGGTAATTCAGGATTAATATAGGCAAATTGGAAATATTATTGAGACTTTCCCAGTCTCGCTTATTTAAGCGCAAATGTGGCAAACGTAAACGGATAACGTCATTAGATATATAGCTGGTGGTCAAGAACAATATTTGAATTCTACTAAAAGTATACAGTGTCATTTACATGTTCCAATTCATAGTGACCCCTCAAAGTGATACAAAATGGGGAGCACATAATTAAGGACAATGCCGAAGAGAGAGAAAAAGAATGGTCGGATAATCAACTACAACTGATTTAAAGAAAACAACAAAAACAAAAAATGTTTCAATGCTATATAACAATAACAATGATAAATGCATATAACAACTACAAAATATTGCAATAAAACTAATATGATAAAAAGAATTGAAGAAGACCAGAGGTCATAAAATAAATATAATCTCTAAGAATACTTATCTCCTATGAATAATTGCCTCAAGGTAATATAACTAGATTATGAAACGAATCAGGATTTCTGTTTTATCTAGAAATTCAGGAATCTAGAATTGCCGTGATGTCTCACAGCTAATATCAGATTCAAATACCTTTCTTGTTAGAAAGATTAATTTTGGATATGAATCTATATTGGTTCAAGATTCACTTTCAACACATTTCTATAGTTTTTATTATTTTCAACATACCCTAAAATAGGCTCACCTACGTCCCTTTTGCCAGCTCTGGCAATTTCTGGATTTCTAAAGCTGTCCATTTTTTTCTAGCATACTATACATTAGCTGCGATATAACGTGTGTTCATTTTTATGTGTTTATTAAGTAATGTCCATTTTCTCCGTAGAAGTACTTCTAGATCCATGTAGAACATGGTGCCCTTCATCATCTTGCCAAGCTGTCTGCAAGATACAAGAGAAAGGACCCCAAAATCCACAGCTGGTACAGTGCTCATCCTGTGATACTGAATTCTGCTCAGTATGCAATTCCAACTGGCACCCAGGACAAGGGTGCCAAGAAAATCTACCAATTACTTTTCTCCCCGGGGAATCCAGGTACAGCTAAAGCAGCTTCATCATTGCAAGAAGTCAGTTTAAGTAGGAATGTAATCTTCAATGACTTATTGCAGCCAACTGCCCATCTAGTTTGCCAGTATCCTATTTAAGTCACAAACATTTTTTTATTCCCTTATTCTACTGAATTTGTGTATACCACTCTCATTGGTTGACTAATGCATACATCGCTATCCATTTCTGTAAAATGTAATTTCCTGACATAACGTTCCCATCTCCCACTATTCACCATTCTAGTTATGTCCTTGAGTTCAATCTACATTTCATCTTCTAAAGAATGCGTCACCGTCTTCAGTAAACCATAGCACAACTATCCCTTTTCTATTCCAGAGGAATGTGCATATTGGTACATGCTATATTTTCAGTATTTATATTAGTATACAGTCTTTTTATTATTCAAATAGACCTTATCTGAATGTACTTTAGTGTATTTATATATTTTAGGAAAACATAGAAACATAGAATGTGACGGCAGATAAGAACCATTCGGCCCATCTAGTCTGCCCACTTTTTTAAAAACTTTAATTAGTCCCTAGCCTTATCTTATAGTTAGGATAGCCTTATGCTTATCCCACGCATGCTTAAACTCCTTCACTGTGTTAACCTCTACCACTTCAGCTGGAAGGCTTTTTCATACATCCACTACCCTCTCAGTAAAGTAATACTTCCTGATATTATTTTTAAACCTTTGCCCCTCTAATTTAAGACTATGTCCTCTTGTTGTGGTATTTTTCTTATTTATTTATTTTCATTTTTGCCATTTATATAGCGCCAACAGATTCCGTAGCGCTTTACAATATTATGAGAGGGGGGATTTAACTATAAATAGGGCAATTACAAAAAACTTACAGGAACGATAGGTTGAAGAGGACCCTGCTCAAATGAGCTTACAGTCTATAGGAGGTGGGGTATAAAACACATTAGGACAGGAAATAGCATATAGATATGGTGGGAGTGAAGCAGAGCTGGAGGAGAGAGTAGAGTGCTGCCCTTTAGGAGAGGTACTTGAGGTAGAGGCTACTCATAAGCTTTCCTAAAAAGATGGGTTTTAAGGCACTTCTTAAACAATTGAAGACTAGGGGAGAGTCTGATGGCGGTAGGCAGGCTATTCCATAGGAAGGGAGCTGCACGTGAGACGTCCTGCAAGTCCTGAGTTGTCCGTACAGGTGCGAGCAACGGACAGGAAAAGGTCACGGGCAGAGCGGAGAGACAGAGAAAGAGTGTAAATATGGATCTGTGATGAGAGATTAGAGGGGCTAGAATTGTTCAATGAATTAAAGGTATTGGTTAGCACTTTAATTGACTCCTATAGGATACAGGAAGCCAATGTAAGGGCTGACAGAGGAGTGAGGGGTGAGGTGTAAGAGGACCGACTAGAGAGGAAAATCAGTCTGGCGGCAGTATTCATTACAGACTGTAGTGGGGCAATACGGCTTTTGGGAAGACCAATGAGGAGAGGGTTACAATAATCCATGCGGGAAATTACTACAGCATGGACAAGCTCCTTGGTAGCATCTTGCATAAGAAAGGGGCGGATGCGGGCTATGTTTTTAAGGTAGAATCTACAGGATTTGTCAACATACTGGATGTGAGGCTCAAAGGTGAGGCAAGAATCAAGTATGACACCAAGACAGCCCGCTTGCAAGGACGGACTTATGTGGATACCACTAACTTGAAGGGAGAGCGAAAGAGGAGGATCGGTATTAGGAGGAGGAAAGACAATGAGCTCAGTTTTAGAGAGATTGAGTTTCAGAAAGCGGGAGAACATCCAGTCAGAGATGGAAGAAAGGCCAGCAGTGACACGTTGGAGTACAGCAGGGGAGATGTCCAGCGAGGAGAGATATATCTAGGTGTCATCAGCGTAAAGGTGGTAGTGGAATCCAAATGAGGTAATAAGTTTGCCAAGAGAGGCATTATAAAGAGAAAATAGAAGGGGACCAAGGACAGAACCTTGGGGGACTCCAACCAAGAAAGGACGAGGGGAGGAGGTATCATTAGAAAAGGATACACTGAATGAGCGTTGGGGGAGATAAGAGGAAAACCATGAGAGGACAGAGTCACAGAGACTTCTCCTTTACTGTGTTGATTCCCTTTATGTATATAAATGTTTCTATCATATCCCCCTGTCTCGTCTTTCCTCCAAGCTATACATGTTAAGATACTTTAACCTTTCCTTGTAAGTTTCATCCTGCAATCCATGAACCAGTTTAGTAGCCCTTCTCTGAACTCTCTCTAAAGTATCAATATCCTTCTGGAGATACGATCTCTCGAGTACTGCGTACAATACTCCAACTATATACTATATACTGATATATGTTCATCCAGTGTTCTGTACAATGGCATGAGTACTTCTCTCTTTCTGCTGCTAATACTTCTCCCTATACAACCAGACATTCTGCTAGCATTTCCTGCTGCTCTTTTACATTGCCTTCCTCCCTTTAAGTCATCTGAAATAATTACCCCTAAATCCTTGTCTTCAGATGTTGAGGTTAGGACGCTATCAAATACGTCAAGGATGCATTAGCTACAGAAGTGCACATGACATTGTAATTTTGGTTTACATAGGATCTTTAGAATGCAATATGCCCTACATCCTATATTACTATACTGTTTTAATACACCAAGCTGTTGTTTTTGATTTTTTGATTCTTTTGTCACATTGTGTGATTTATTTACAGCTCTGTTTATAAAGCTGTTGACAATGATGTACCGATTAAACGCTGCCCAAAGTGTAAGGTGTATATAGAACGCGACGAAGGTTGTGCACAGATGATGTGCAAGAATTGCAAGCATGCCTTCTGCTGGTACTGTCTGGAATCTCTCGATGTGAGTATGCAATAAAGAACACAGATTATATTCTAAATAATGTCTGAATTAGTTAGTAATTTCTATTATTATAAATCAAGTTAGAAAGTGAAGACTCTTCATTTTGCTTCATCAAAGGCACACAACATATAGAACTTTGCAAATTCCAAGTCAATGGTCTTTTTTACCTCACCCTCCATTTTCATATTTGGGATGGCATCAAGACTGATATTTCAGGCGCACTTTATAAATTGACTAATTTATGCCAATTTGAACTGACCCTAATAGCCCCATCGATGTTGGCTGACTAATACATAATGAAACTTAATAGTTAATTTGAAAGAGGTTGAGGGTTTGTTGGCTCTTACCTTTGTGTTAAAGGCTGTGCTTAGGATGTGCACTTCCAGAGTTATAATCGTCAAATTGTGTTTATCACTTTTGCCAACCTCACACTCAGGCTCATTATAACCAAGGGGGAGATAGATCTCAGAGAGATAGTGGAGGGAGGTAGATTGGGAATGTATTTGAGAGGTCCCCTCAGAGGGCCTCTATTTCAATTTTTTGCAAGAACAATATTTTAAAATCAAGCATAGATGGAAAGCTGCCCTAGTTAAATTGTATCATATGGTAAAGACAACTACAGATTTACTTTAAAAAAGAAAACAAAAAAACTGTGATAAGTTGTGATCTGTTGTACACGTGTCATAGAGTTCCAACATATGGAACTCTAGTAAACTCTTATTGATGTGAGTTTTGATAGATCAGCACCTGTTTACCCCTGAACTTATCTCTTATACAAGCCTATGGAATGTCTTACTAAACATGGAATAAACACAAATGAAGGGACTGAATTCATATAAAAGCTAGAAGGGCGCTTGCTGAAATATGTTTCACAAATTATTTCCTATCAACTTTTAAGTTAAAAGCTTAGGTGAGCATCGAAATGCAAAATGGATATGCACACTACCTTAGAACATGATAGGATTAAATCCTTTTTTTTTCTGGCTGGACCTCATGGAGAGATTATTCAAAATAAAAATGTTTCCAACAGTTTCTGCCAAGCCCTGACACACAGCTCCTCTCTCTTTCTCCTTTTCTCTCTCTGTTCTCTACTTGATTCCTTTTCTCTAACTCTTTTTCTTTCTTCATTACACCCACTCACTGTCTGAGTTGGTTGTTTGCTTTTGTTTAAAAAATTATATGGTATTCAGTACTCCATTGTGTTACATTTGAATTGTCTATTGGTCGCATTAAAATAAAGAATTGGAAAAAAATGTTCAGTGTTCAAGGTGCAGTTACATAACATGAAGAATTCAGAATTTTTAAAACTGTCTGGAAGCATTGAGCTGCCATCAGAAAAATCATGAAAGGGACACTTTAGGCATTAGAACTGCTGCAGCTTAATGTAGTGGTTCTTCAGCAAAGAGACTGCCTCTACGCACTGAGCAATGCAAAATTGCCTTTTCTAAAAATAAATAAATAAATAAAGGCAGTGTTTACATTGCTGCCTAAGGCTATCTCTAGTCACTGTAAGCTGTAACTTGGACAGCGGCTAGTTACAGATTACAGATTGGAGGACCGATGTGGAGATGCGGAACGCTCCCCTTAGAGATGCATTGAGCTAATGCACGCAGTGCCGCTAGTTACAGCATACATGCACTAGCCTCCCAACGCTTCCCTAAGGGAGAGATCATCAGTACTGATAAAAACTGCATGCCACAGGTATAAAGTAAATGTATTTATTTACTCATTTCTGTGTGAGGGTGTACTAATCGAAATAGTTATAATAACATTCTAGCATTAAGAATGCATGTTTTTATTCTTACACTATAGTGTCCTTTAAAGCGATGCTTCAAGGACTGTAAGCATTTACTATCTGTGCATATGTTAGTTCAGGCAGACTTTACCAAGCCTAATTCAGCAACGTACAAAAGTGGGCAAGGACATCATACGTCGAGCAGAAACATCAAATGGCAACCTCCCAAAATCAATATAGACATTAGGATATTTTAATTTTATATAATAAAATCTATAATCATTTGACTGTTCATCGGTCATCATTGCACAGGGTAAATGCATAATGAGCCTGGAATATACATGCTGGTTCTAATGGTGATTGCTCTAATTTTAGTACTTTGACCAAATTCGAAATGTGACATGTTGATATATCTCCCCTTATGGATATGTTTGGTAAGTTTGTATAAATAAGCTCTAATTGAGTGATATATGTTCATCCAGCAATGAGTATTTACTGAAGTAGTGAAACATGAGCATAAGATGGAGAGAGAATGAAGAAAGAGGTAGAGAAGATAGAGAAAAAAAGAAATTAGTGAAAAAAGGAGAAAATGGGGCAAGGGAAAAAAGGGGGTGAGGTGAGGCAGTTTAAATGTGAGACTCATACCATTCATGGACTATGTCCGAGGAAGTCCAAGTGTGTGGCTCATACCATTCATGGACTATGTCTGAGAAAGTCCAAGTGTGTGGCTCATACCATTCATGGACTGTGTCTGAGGAAGTCCAAGTGTGTGGCTCATACCATTCATGGACTATGTCTGAGGAAGTCCAAGTGTGTGGCTCATACCATTCATGGACTATGTCTGAGAAAGTCCAAGTGTGTGGCTCATACCATGAGGAAGTCCAAGTGTGTGGACTGGTGTCTGAGGAAGTCCAAGTTTGTGGCTCATACCATTCACAGTCTATGTAATATATTGCAGTTAAAACGAAACCGTACTGATTAATAGTCATACTTTAAAGCATCAGGGGAGGTAAAGAGCTTCATGTATCTTGGCTCTTGTAGAACCAATGGGCCATATATGTTTTTTTGACATCAAGTTCTCGATTAGCGGATACCTCTGTACATTCTATAACTGTAATGATTTCCAAAAAGGTTGACATAGTTTTGAAGTTGTTTTATCATTTCTCTCAAGTTACTAAATCATGCACTTTATACTTATTAGGTTTACTCAAGGCAACATTTATCTTTTCTTTAAACAGGATGACTTTCTGCTTATACACTACGATAAAGGACCATGCCGAAATAAACTGGGCCATTCCAGAGCATCAGTTATATGGCACAGAACACAGGTTAGTAAAAGATTTGTATTGCTTTAAGAGGACCTCATTAAGCTTTAATGTACTTGTATCGGATCTCCCCACTGCATTGTATGTGCTGAATCCTTCCAGCCACAGGTTTGAAGTCAGTGGTTTGCTTTACAATGCACATTTTCCTGACACAGAATAATCATGATGGTCCACATGACTCGATTCCCACTTACAACATTATGACCAGTTGCCCTCCGAGGCGTGGAGCACAGCGTTCCAATTAGTGCCCAGATTTCAAATTGAACTGTAAGAGGAGATAACGTCCAAACTGAATTTACTTTAATAAAATCTAAAATAGGTTTAACTGCAAACTAGACAAATAAAAAAAGAAAGAGATGACTTATTATACTTGCTCTGAGAAAAGTAAAAACTAAAACCAAAGTAAATACATTTTAGATTGACTTTCTGTGACCTGTAAGCCGTTTAGTATAATTGTCACTATTCACCCATCATGTAACCTCCATTATGTCCAATTTTCTTCAGCTGTTTTTTGACTCATTTTGGGCAAGGCCTCTCTGATTTCCTCTGAAAAGGGCCTAATTAAAGAGTCATTGTCAGTTTTTCAATACTTAAACTGATTTGTTGCGAGATTGCATGTATTATCTTTAGATGAATGCATTCCTGATTGATTATTCTTCTGTCAGATGAACTATGCTACCTGCAAGTTTAACCAAAGGGTTTAAAAAATATAAAAAATAATAGTGTAATATTAACCTGAAACATAGGTATGTAGCAGATACATGTAGGATAAAAGCACAATTTTTGGTATAGTTTGCTGTTCAATATATAACATTTAAATTATGTACATATATCTGGTTTTCTTTTTTCATTTCTTTTTTTTTACCTTCTACAAAAATATTGTGGGATGAAAAGGCACTATCTATCTATTGATCTATCGATCTGTCTCTCTGTCTGTCTATCTATCTATCATCTATCTATCTATCTATTTCTATCGATCTATCTATGTGTCTGTCTGTCTATCTATCTATCTATCTATCTCTATCTGTCTGTCTGTCTGTGTGTCTGTCTATCTATCTATCTACCTATCATCTATCTAACTATCTGTCTATTGATCTATCGATCTGTCTGTCTGTCTATCTATCATCTATCTATCTATTTCTATCGATCTATCTATGTGTCTGTCTATCTATCTATCTATCATCTATCTATCTCTATCTGTCTGTCTGACTGTCTATCTGTCTGTCTGTGTGTATGTCTATCTATCTACCGATCATCTATCTATCTATCTATCCATCTATCTCTATCGATCTATCTATCTCTAGCGATCTATCTATGTGTCTGTTTGTCTGTCCTTCTGTCTGTCTCTCTAGCTGTCTGTCTATCGATCTGTATAGCTCTCTATTTAACTGTCTGTCTAGCTGTCTATTTAACTGTCTATTGAACAGTCCATCTATTTAGCTATCAATGGAACAGTCTATCTATTTAGCTATCTATCGAACATCTATCGAAGCGTCTTATCTATTTAGGTATCTATCAAACCTAGGATAACCTAAAAATACTTGCAGTGGTGTCATATGGAGTGGTCAATGTTTAATTTGGTAGGAAATTATGTTAGAAATGTATAACACTGGAGTGACCGTATATATTTGTTCTCTTCTCTTGCAGGTTGTAGGTATATTTGCAGGATTCGGCCTATTGCTTTTGGTGGCATCGCCATTTCTTTTACTGGCAACCCCGTTTGTTTTGTGTTGCAAATGTAAATGCAGTAAGGGAGATGATGACCCTTTACCAACTTAATTCTAAATCAGATAATTTTACGAGTTAGAGCACCTTTCATAAATACTGCTGATGGCTATGCTATATACTGTATCATAGCCCTGCTATTCTCATCCAGCTTTCAGAGACATACACAGTGCCATTTTTTGTAAAACATATTGTTTGTGTAGTGGCTGATATCCTTCCGGGATCGCTGTGAATACGTTCAACAGAAGTCTTTGAGGGGTTAACAAACTCAAATCCTTGAAGAAAGCTAAAGGCGAAGTTGTTAAAAAAAAAAAAAAAAAAAGACTTATTTTAAGTAATACATTGTGACATTTTCTAAAACTGTTTACTATTGATTTTTTTCTAATTTTTTTTTTTAATTTACATTCCTGTTGTGTTTTATTTTTTATTTTGTCATTTTTTGCTTTTTTAAATGTGGTTGGAAAGTGTTACACATGTTTCTTGCATACATTGTACAGTAATAGGTATGGTTTGAAAAATGTATTGTACTATGTCCTTGAATCCTTCTAATGCACTGCCATCTAGTGGTACATGAATGTGGTTCATGGAACGCATGAAAATATTTTGTATTCAATGTTAAGAGATGCTTCTGTTTTAGAAAAAGAAAAACAGATGTCCCATTCTCTCCTTATGAAATGGTCCCATTGATAGCACAGTTTATATTGATACTCAAAAGGGCTGCCTGTTTTATAAAAAAAAAAAAAAAACAAACAAAAAAAATCTTTTTGGACCAAATATGTAAATAAATGCATGACAATTTTCTAAGAAATTATCTCATGACAACCCTGATATATATGTCAGTTTTCCATCAGTGCACTAATTACTAAAACACTTTTGGAAATTTATTGAGTGGTAGCGTAGAAATGAAATGCATTTTGAAAGGGCACTGATACCTACATTTTAATAGCACTTGTTTAACATATCACACATACCACAAGTAGGCAAACTCTTACATACATCTTAATGTTATAGGCCTTGTCTGTTTGCCTATTGTTGATTTGTTTAGTGATCAGCTTTTTGTGCTTTTCAGCAATCATAAAACATACAGAGTTAAAATCACAGTCAAAAACTAGAAAATAAATGCATAGATATAACTCCAGACTCCCATAAAATGCTGACCTCCTGGAGAAATAAAAGTCAAAATATGCAAGTTCCACAATTTCAACATATCGACTTGGACTTCTGTAAAAGACCTGTTTAATAGAAAGTTGACATATGTTTAAGCATCACTGCAATTTTCAACAAAGCAAGGTTCGTGCGAGTGCTGAAGGGAGTAGGTTATCGACTGATGGGTCAAATATTTTCTGTAATATCCCTAAGTCCCTTATTCTGCTTCCTGTTTCATTCCAGTTGTAAAGCTGATACACAGCAGATGATATTGCCGGTTGCATTCCATCATTGACATTTTTTTGTATGCATAAATGCACATATTTTTAGTGACCTATCCTGTGGTTTCTTATGATACAGAGTAGAACTGTCTTGCAAAAGGTAACGTGTTCCTCAAATGATGTTTAGAACTTGTTGAATAATTAATGCCTGTAAGCTGTCTCTATTTTATTATTTACGTGTGTGTGTATGGTATTGGAAACAATCCTCTGATGAAAGTTAGGTTTTAAGATTATTTTATATGACCATTTTATAACCCATTGTGTTATTTTTAATTTACATGTTACATAAGTTGATATTTTAAAAATAATATGTACGATTCTATAGTATGCACCTTTGATTATGTTGTGTGCCTTTTTAACGTATCTTGCTAACAGAGATAGAAAAAGTTACAATTATCACTTTTATATGTTACCTTTGTTAACTATGGGAGACTTAAAGGGGGACTATCACCTCCCAGAATTTGTAATATGATACATTTTTATGCCACATGTTAAGCAAAAATATATTAGTGAGGTGTGAAAAATAAAATTAAATGTAGAAATTCCCAGATTTTACTATTAACATGACGTAAAGTCATGATTTTATTAAAGACACGGAGGCGAGTATTATGCATATCTCTTTCTTTATTACTCTCAGCAGCAAAGAAATAGAGATAAATAAATAACTGAAAGAACAAAAAAAATACAGTGTTCAAGTAACCAATCACATAACAGAGGAAGTGACTATAAAATACTTGAAGCACCCACAATCCCCCTCTTTCTTGCGGATAACGAAGACCAAATACAGAACATCCAACTTCGGCTAACGTAGCCAACCGCAGCTCCAATATGGCAAATCACGAAGAATTCAGGCTAAAGGAGACACAGAAAAAGAAAAAGGTAATGACTGGACTCCAACTGTATGTGCATAACTATAATAAATAGTACAGTACGTCAAACTCAAACTCTACACACCCAAATACAGTAATACAGCTATAAGGGACATAAATGTAACCCCAATATATAGAGAAACGTCAGATACAACACACACAATCAAAAAGTCTAATAGCGAATATATCATACTTACCCACCATACCAGCCAATGCCCAACCCGGGTGGGTGGGTGGGAATAATACTCGCCTCCGTGTCTTTAATAAAATCATGACTTTACGTCATGTTAATAGTAAAATCTGGGAATTTTATTAAAGACACGGAGGCTCCTATTATGCAAGTTTAAAGCTTAGAAACCACTTGAGATGCAAAATGGTCAATCGGCCTGAAGTAGAAATCACGAAAGGTCGATTCCCGTGACCAATCCGCCGCACGCAGAATATCTTCTAGGCGGCAGCCCATAGCCGCCGCCTTGGAGGCCATAGCTCCGCAGACTGAATGAGGGGTGAATCTGGACGTATCGATCCCGGCCAGAGATAACAATTCCCGAACCCATCTTGCCAACGTAGGTGTAGACACCGGAAGGTGCGGGGCTCGAAGCGAGATGAACAAGGGGCATAGCTCCGGGGATCGCAACGGTCGAGTAACCTTGAGGTAGGCCTGAAGGCATTCGACTGGACAGATAGCCGGGTTTCCCTGGAATCTAGGGTAAACAAACACCTTCGAAGCCGACTTCGTTCTCCTGGATATGTTAAAGGAGATGCCCTCCGGGGTGAACGCAATAGCATTCCAGTCCAATGCCCGAACATCCGACACCCTCTTGCAAGAGATAAGGCATAGCAACATGACCACCTTCGCTGATAGCTGTTTCAGTGTCAGATCCTGATTTGGATACCAAGCCGACAAGAATTGAAGGACCACATTCACGTCCCAGAAGGCAGTGAATCTCGCACGGGGTGGTCTGGTGAGACGGATCCCCTTGAGCAGTCGGCATACAAAGGGATGACGTCCTACGGGCGAACCATCCAAGCCTTGGTGTCCGGCTGATATAGCAGATCGGCATAGATTAATGGTGCGGTACGCCTTCCCAGATTCAAACATCTCAGTAAGGAATTCCATGATCACATGTAAAGGGGCAGATATGGGATCCACTGACCGTTCCACGCACCAACTAGACCATATTCTCCAGGCGGATCGGTACACCACTCGAGTACCTGGTGCCCATGCACTGTCGAGGAGGTCGAGAGTTGATTGCGGAACCCCTGTGATAGACCAGGGTCCCCTGAAAGAGGCCAGGCGATCAGGTGTAGGAGGCCGCGCTCCACCAACTCGTGCGAGTTGCCATCCGGATCCCTCAGGAGATTCGGGAAGGTCGGTATCAGGCGTGGGTAATAGTGGTGTGATCAGTACCAACGAGCCGCCGTGTTGCGTCAGTTTCAACAGCGTGCAAGCTATCATATTGAACGGGGGAAAAGCGTAGAGCCGAGTCTGCGGCCAGTCTTGAAGGAACGCATCCGTTGCTACTGCCGCCGGGTCCGGTCTCCAACTGAAGAACTTGGGTACTTGCGCGTTGAGACGGGACGCGAAAAGGTCCACGTCGAATGGGCCCCAAATGCGGTCCAGACCCTGTAAGGCCGTAGCGTGCAAGCGCCAATCCCCAGAATCTCTCAAATAGCATGAGTTCCAATCGGCCATTGAGTTGTCCAGACCCGGGATATGTTCCGCCTGCACGGAAATGCTGTTGCGAAGACAAAATTGCCAGAAGTCCTTCGCCATGAGAGCTAACATGCGCGATTTCATGCCTCCCAGGTGATTGATGTATCGGACCGCTGATACATTGTCCATCTTGAGCATCACGCAACAATTCGCCCGTTCCGGCGTGAGGCTGCGAATAGCGAATGCACCTGCCAATAGTTCCAGGCAGTTGATATGGAGTGTTCGTTCCTGATTCGACCATCTGCCTCCGGTAGATGCGGCACCACAACGCGCGCCCCAGCCGTGTAAGCTGGCATCTGACTCTATCATGATGTCCGGGACAGAACCGAATATGGCTCTCCCGTTCCAGGCGTCCATGTGGGCCAGCCACCAGGTCAGCTCGTCTCTGGACTCGTCGTCGAGTCTCACTCTCTGTTCGTAAGAGTGGCCGGCACGTAGGTGAGAGCCTTTTAAGCGTTGAAGGGCCCGGTAATGGAGAGGGCCAGGGAAAATTGCTTGTATTGAGGCAGCCAGGAGGCCGATCACCCTCGCCAGATGTCGGATAGAGATGTCGTCTGCACGTAGTGTACGTCTGATTTCCTTCTTGATCGCCTTTGTCTTGGATTCCGGAAGGAACAGGAATTGTTGGACGGAGTCCACTGTAAACCCCAGAAATTCCAGTGTTTGGGTGGGGTCTAATACCGACTTCTCCCAATTGATGAGAAAGCCTAGGTTCTGGAGTAAGGACGTAGTCCATGATACATGAATCGTCAGTAATTCTCTTGACTGGGCCATCAGCAAGATGTCGTCCAAATAGATGATCAGACGTACTCCACGACTCCGAAGGAAGGATACCACAGGTTTCATGACCTTGGTGAAGCACCAGGGGGCTGAGGAGAGACCGAATGGCAAACAGGTAAACTTCCAGCGCTCTCCCTTCCAGGTGAAATGGAGGAAATCTCTGTGGGCCGAGGTTATAGGCACCGTAAAATAGGCGTCTTTGAGGTCTAGTTTGGCCAACCAGTCGGACTCCTGAAGGAGGTCTCGAAGGCAATGGATGCCCTCCATCTGGAAGTGGCGATACTGGAGAAAAGCATTGAGGGGGCGGAGGTTGATGACCGGACACACACCCCCACCTTTCTTCGGGACTAGAAATAGGTTGCTTGTAAAGCCCCGTTGAGTAAACGGGACCTCTTGTATTGCACCTTTGGTGCGTAGTTCCACGATCTCCGAAGAGATCAATTCTTCCTGCTCTCGAGCTAGCGAGAGTTCCCTGGGGACAAAAGTTTGAACAGGAAAAGACACAAAATCTATGTGGTAACCCTTCACTGTTTGAAGAACCCAAGCATCTGCTGTCAGGGCCACCCATGCCTCGTAAAACTGGGCCAATCTGCCCGCCACCCGCTCTCGTGTATGATGGACAAAAGGGGTACTCACCATAAGGGCGTCTGCCTGATGAGGCACCTCTCGGGTAGCGGGGATTCCAGGACCTCCCTCTAGATGGGAAGAATGGAGCCGGTCTGGGCTCTTGGAAGTTTCTGGTAGGGAAAAAGGAGCCTCGCTGGGCTCGATACGAACCCCGGAATCCGCGGGCGGGTGGACGGCTCCTGTTGCGCCCGGCCCCTCCAAAAACTCTAGGGGAAAACACCCTCTTCATATTAGCCTGGGCCTTATCAATGGCTGTGAAGGTTTTAACGTAAGACCCCAGGTCTCTTACGAAATTGTCTCCAAAGAGCATCCCCTCAGCCGAGGGACCAGGTTCGGAGACGGCCATGGTAGCCAATTTAGGATCAATCTTAAGCAGGATTGCCTTCCTGCGCTCAGCGGAGACGGCCATATTAGCATTGCCTAGTAGGCAAATGGCACGTTGCACCCAACCGATCGCTACATCAATATCAAGCTCCGCGTCACCCGCCTTGGGGGCTTCCAGAACTTCATAGGCCTTAGACAGAGGGCCAATGGTGTCCATAATCTTGTCTTGACAATGTCTCAGGGAAAAATCAAGGCCCTTCTTTTGTTTCCAGCCTGATTTGTTGAGGAACTGGGCAATCTGAGGATCGACCTCTGGCGTCTTACACGCCGATCCTGGGACCGAAGGTCTAGGACATTCAGCCCGTAGCTTACTGCGACTCTCCCTAGAGAGTGGCGTACGCATCCGAAGTGCGATATATCGGGCGATATGCTCAGGGGGTTCCCACTCAGCGGAACGAGGATGACGCAAGTCATCCGGATCAAACAGGGGGTTACCCTGCGGATCCAGAATCCCCGCGTCGCCACTCGCCCCCTGGGCAGCAACACCCCCGGCAGGGAAAGCGCCCCCAGTACGGGGTGCTACGGCAGGGGGAGCTCCCTCCTCCGAGCCGGCTTCTTCATCAGAAGCATAGTCTAGTTCCTCATACTCCTCCTCCTCACTCCGGTCGCTCTCCGACCTTTCATCACGGGATCTAGCCCGTTTCCACAACCTGGCCGTTTTTGCCCGACCAGAGGCTCTTTTGCGCGGTGGGAGCGCGCCATCTGTGACTGCCTCAGGCGAGTCCGTCAAGGCAGGTAAAACCTGCGTCATGGAGTGGGAGGAGAGATGTTTTGCCTTCACCTTGGCCTTACGGGCACCAGGTGGGGTAGGGATAGGAGTAGGGCCCGTACCCAGTAGGGCAGGGTTAGCCGCCTGGGGCAGCAAAAGAGACTGCGCCAGAGTCTGGGAAAAGGAGGAGGACATAGCCCCCATAGCAGAGGCGAGCGCTCTCTGGAGAGAGGACGCCATGGTGGAGTCCATCAGAGCCTGGAACTCCTCAGAGATGGCCTGACCCTCAGGCAGCTCCTGATGGAAGTCAGTAATGTGGCCCTCAGGACCATCACCCTTATCCTGCATGACTACAGGAAAGGGTTAAACAGGAGAAGTAGAAAATGACAATCAGATCTGAAAACAAAACGAAAACGGCATATAAGTATACAGAGGAAAAATGACAGGGATAGAATTAGGGTTTAATAACCCAAAAGGGACAGGAATAGGACAGGGCTAAAAACAGCCACAAGAGAACAGGAAAGAAACACAAGCACAATGAAAAATAAAATAAAATAAATTAAATCAAATAAAATTAATCAAACTTAAATAAACTGAAATAAAAAACTGCAAGATGTACATATAAAACCAGCAAAACTGAATAAAAATCCTACCCCACAGTGGTGTGTAACAGATGAGCACTGAAAGTCCTCAGGGGATGAAAGGCAAACCGGCAGGGGAGTGTGGCCGTCGGACACAAGATGGCCGCCACACGAGGGAGGAGAGGCAACCGACGAGAGCGGGGGAGGGGGCGCACGTGTATCCACAGCGCGGCCCGACCAACACACGCCCGGGAGCCGCCGCCGAGCTAAGCGGAGGCTCGCCGGCGTGTAAACACAAAATCCCCTGAGACATGGGAGACCCCGCGGCTAGCCGCAGAACGCGGCCGGGATGGGAGAGAGCGGGAGGCGGCACTGCCTAACGCGGCCGTGACGGCCCCCAGGAGAACACACCACAGGGGGGGAAGAAACAAGTAAAAGACACAGGCTCCAGCACCTAAGATATATAACCAGGAGCAGGAACCTCAAATAAAATAAACATGCAAAACACAGTACAGTGTAAAATCACAATATCAATATCAGAGCAGAAAAAGTTATGTACTTAACTGGTCTGAGAGCAGCAAAGAAAGAGGGGGATTGTGGGTGCTTCAAGTATTTTATAGTCACTTCCTCTGTTATGTGATTGGTTACTTGAACACTATTTTTTTTGTTCTTTCAGTTATTTATTTATCTCTATTTCTTTGCTGCTGAGAGTAATAAAGAAAGAGATATGCATAATAGGAGCCTCCGTGTCTTTAATAAAATTCACATATCTTAATATTGCAGTTTGCACCTCCAACTTAAATTCCTGTCAATCATGGTTTAAACCTCTGCTACCCTTTGCACAAATGAATTAACATGGAACACACATACAAATTAGATAAATAAAGCAATGTTTTGTATTTCTCCTCCTCATTTGCAACATGTGCCCTAGCTGATACTGTTCTAAATTTAAAAGAAAACAGTGCACCTCATTAATAAAATGACTTAACATTTTAGGTGGTTTTCAAAGTTGTTTCCCCAGTGATATAATTTTCAGAAAAGTGATGATTCCCCTTTAAGAACAATTTGATCATTTATGTGTGATTATCTGCGTCTGTCGCGTTGTTGTTTTAATAAGAAGCCTTGTGCCTTTTGGCAGATGTATAGTATTGCTCTTGATTACAGAATAGTATCATCCAGTTCACACACTATTTGCTAATTAGCCTCCTTGGTTAATTAAATAAATTTTATAATTCGTTATTTTTTTTCCCATTGAATTATCTTTACTGTAAGCATGATTAATGTATTCCTGGTTGCAATGCTTTTGAGGTGTTCATATAAAATGTTTTTTTGTTATTTTTTTATTGGGGCTTTTTTGGTTAAGTTGTATAAATCCTAAATATTAACTGTACTCACTTAAAAAAAACATAACTACACAATTAATATGTAAAGAAAATGTTAAGATTTATAACGTAAAAGTCTTATTATAAGAACCTTTTTCAAAATCTTTACAAGTATCCTTAAATGTTATACCTGTCAGAGTCGAAAGGAGAATTTGATAGGCAAGTTCCAAATTTTAAAAACTACTGTTTGCAATTTTTAGATTTAAAACTAATTTTTTTTTTTGTTTCGATTAGAGTTACATTTCATTGCTACCCAAATATAACTTGGCGTTTGCTTTCATTCACACTATGTGAATTTTTATGTAGCATAAATTTCCAAATTTGTTTTCCATAAAATCGACATAGCAAAATATACTATAGGCAGATGTGGTAAAAAAAAGACTAATAATACAGTAATGACTAAAGTCTTGTCAATATTTTCATACTTATAAAAGACAAAGGCATAACAAGTACAGTACGTGATGTTTATAAACTGCACTATATATATATATATATATATATATATATATATACACATCTATATTTAGTGCAGTACGTAGACTAAAACACTACAATAATGTCTAATGCACATTGGAGCAGATTGAACCCTTCCTGTCAATATCCAGGCTCATTGAAGTTATTATTGCTCATTTATTTACATACATTCCCTAAAATGTTATATTTTATTTCAATAAACTATGGGGTTGTTCACTAAATAATGATTAGAGCATATTTGTGAACCAAATGGCAAAATGTAAGACAAAATGTCAGAGGTGATATCAAAATCATGCAGTTTGTTTTTGCACCTTATGGTAAAGTGAATAAGCCCTTTAAGCTAACAAATTAAAGGGACACTATAGTCACCTGAACAACTTTAGCTTAATGAAGCAGTTTTGGTGTATAGAACATGCCCCTGCAGCCTCACTGCTCAATCCTCTGTCATTTAGGAGTTAAATCCCTTTGTTTATGACCTCCCTGCATGTGACTTGCACAGCCTTCAATAAACACTTCCTGTAAAGAGAGCCCTATTTAGGCTTTCTTTATTTCAAGTTCTGTTTAATTAAGATTTTCTTATCCCCTGCTATGTTAATAGCTTGCTAGACCCTGCAAGAGCCTCCTGTATGTGATTAAAGTTCAATTTAGAGATTGAGATACAATTATTTAAGGTAAATTACATCTGTTTGAAAGTGAAACCAGTTTTTTTTCATGCAGGCTCTGTCAATCATAGCCAGGGGAGGTGTGGCTAGGGCTGCATAAACAGAAACAAAGTGATTTAACTCCTAAATGACAGTGAATTGAGCAGTGACATTGCAGGGGAATGATCTATACACTAAAACTGCTTTATTCAGCTAAAGTAATTTAGGTGACAATAGTGTTCCTTTAAACTGTTTTAGAATTTAATGGTACATTTTTTTGAAAATAGAACACTTACATATCAATAAACACAGGGGTAGGTACAGGCCACACAGGGTATGCAGTAGATAAGATGTTGCCTACATTCCACTAAGAATCATGTGATTAGTCCGTATTCCATCCTGGATGTGTACTTGGTGATACTGTATGCATGGGGAGGCAAAATTCCAAAACGGATCACAAATTGTATTTATGTATTTCTTGTGTAAGTACAACATTGTGAACCTAACACTGTGATGTACAAAGAAACTGTAATGCTGTTTTTTTTGTATTCTAAATGACATAACAATTGATCTTTCATTTCAATAGATAATTTCATTGATGTAATATTTGGCAGTATGTGGTCATTTTTGTGGTCAAAGTTAATGTCTCACTACAACACTAGCCTTTTTTCTTTTAACCGCTAGTTATTAAAAAAACAAAAACTAAACAGTGTCATTTACATCTGAAATTAACCTGGAGGATTGAGACAATGAACTATCAATTTGAGAAAACACTGACTGTCTGTATGTGGCAGTTTTTGTCTGTTGGATACTGTGTGAGCAGAGAGAGAGCTGTCTGTGTCTTGAGTTTTCTCCTATATTACATCAATTCCATTGGGCATCATTTTACTGTGCCCACCCTAAGCCCCCGTGAAAGGTAATAAAACTTACCTTATTTCTAGTGCTACTCAGGACTGCAGGCGATGGACACGCCCCATATCTGCCACCTTTCTGACATCATCAGAATTTATGATTTCAGCCATTCAAATGCTTTTCCATAGGCAAGGAGGTGTTACAGGGGGTGGGTCCAAACGCCGGCTTGGCCAATTAGCACTTACTCATAGAGATGCATTGTATCAATGCATTTCTATGAGAAGTTCTATGGAGGTGCTCCCTGAGGCAGGAAAGTAAAGACAGTGTTTGCATGAAACTGCCTGCAAGTATGATTATACTGTCCCTTTAAACTTTATTGCACAGTCTGTTTAATTTAGAATGTCTTATCTCCTGCACTGTTAATAGCTTGCTAGACCTTGCAGTAGCCTCCTGTATGTAATTATAGTTCGATTTACAGAGAAGGAGATTAAAAACTCCTAAAGTAAGTTTACACCTAATTAAAAATTATACTATTTTTTCATACAGGCTGTGTTAGTCACAGCCAGGGGAAGTGTGGCTAGCACTGCATGGACAGAAAGAAAATAGATTTAACTCCTAAATGGCAGAGATTTGGGGGTGTTCATTTATTAACATGGACAATTATCAACATTATGAAGAAAAAGTGCCCATAAATGATGTTTAGATATGTATCTTGTCTTACATTCAATGAACCCTAATGGGAGGGCTGTATCTTCAGAGTTGCACACACTGCTTATTAATATTGGAATGTTTGCCCACTGCAGGTTTAACCCCTTAAGGACACATGACATGTGTGACAAGTCTTGATTCCCTTTTATTCCAGAAGTTTGGTCCTTAAGGGGTTAAATGTTCTAATTAATACCCTTCTGGATGTCAAGTGGAAAGAGCAGTTCAGCACAATATGCTACACCTGTATCCGTTCAGGTTGGATAATATCTTCCCAAAAGATTACGTTTGATTGCCTGGTGGAAGATTTCTCTAGTCACTGAAGGTCTGCAGTTACAGAGCATCTACATTAGATCAATTACAAATAGAGATGCCAGATTAGTTTGATACAGAAAAAAGCTTTGACGTATCATGTTAGGCTTTGCTACTTTATACAAATAAATCACCATACTATACTTACATATCAAGAGTCTTCTATCTATAAGGAGCTGGAGATGATTTTGAGATATTCATTTATTTAGCATGTACCTTAAGGATATTTCATTCTTAAGAACCCTCTTCCTTCTCCCTGTTGGAGGACTTGCTATGAAAACACAGGTGCAAAAACTAATTGCCTCATATCTTGCTTGCTTCATACGATGGAGGTGATTTCCTATTTAGGTAATTCTTTATCTCCTATATGTATATGTTATCGTGTGTTGTAAACACAGGTGCAGTCCTTTAGGACTGTAATATTACAATAGCTTGCACATTGTGAATACTACCAGATGCCAAACCATCAATAAAATCTGTTGTAATGGTCCAAAAAAAAAAAACGGGATCCAAAAGTCCAAAAAGAAATGATGACTCACCTTGAATGTCTAGATTGATATGTCTTGAGTACTCCCTAAATCTACAGGAAAAACTGAGTCATGTAAAATCTGCAAAGCACTTTGATATTTCTTTTTTAATACAATAGGTCAGGGGTAGGCAACCTACGGCACTAGTGCCATGCACGGCACTCAAGGTGTCTTTGCACGGCACTCAAGGCTGCTAGAGCCAAACAGGCACTGGAGTCCCAGTGAAACTTCAGATATCTGCTAATACAAAAAGATGTTTGAGGACAATCCTCAATTTATGCATTGCAGCACATAGAGTAAGTGATCTTAGATCACTTCCTCCCAGCACTTGTGAATGGGAATCCACACAGTAGTAGAGCAGCTTGCAGCTGCTATTGCAGCTCCTGACCTTGACCTGTACCTGACCAGCCTGGTCCCCACTGGAACACAGGGAAGCCACCCACACTGCTCGATATACACAGAGCTGCAGAATAACCCTCCCCTCATACAAATAATATAAACAGCCCACACACAAACATACACACAATCTGCACAAACACACCACCACCAACAATCCACATACATTCACACAACCCCACATGCAGCCTCTCACATGCAATACCCCAAACAGCCCCCACACATACACACACTACCAAACACACAATGTGACATATCCATCCACACACACAATTCCACAAGCAGCCCTCATACACAGCCCACATTCATATGTGTCATACACGATACCACAAACTACTCCTGAACATATACAATATAATAGCTCATAAACACACAAATACAACAATACAAAGCAATTACAGTATAAATAATACAAGCAGAATACGGCAGCATACACACCTCAATTTAAAAAAATAGGATCGGCACGCTACGGGACATCACAATCCTACATCGGCACAGTACTGCTAAAAGGTTGCCTACCCCTGCAATAGGTTTTAGTATGTTATATCACTTTATATTATTTATCTTTAAGATATGTGTCATGTATGTTATTGTGTGTAAGGATAATTCGGTATAGAAATATTCACAATCCTAATGTCTTAGGAACTCAGCGGTTCCCAAACTGTGTGCCACGGACAGTCACACAGGGGTCCATGTCCCCATCTCTCACCATGCAGCCCCATGTTCCTTCTCACCAACCTGCAGCTCCATGTCCCTTCCCACACCCTGCAGCCCCATGTCCCCTTCTCACACCCTGTTGCCCCATGTCCCTTCTCACACTCTGCAGCCCCATTTCCCCCTTCCATGTTCTAGATTTCTTATTTCCCACTCACACATCCCCTATTGTCTCCCCCTCACACACACACATCGCCTATCAGCCCAACGCTACACGTGGACTTCCCTGAGGAATATTCCACAAACGTTACCACTTTGGAGGGGCATGAATGTCATTGGTGATGACACAACATGGACCCTCTTGGGCCACACCCCTATGGGGGCTGCTCTGCCTTTAACTGCCCGGGCTGAATTTTTGTCCAGCCCTGCCCCTGAGTAAACATATGCCTATACTCAGTTGCCTACTTTTCCTATTGAGAAATCCAGCCCTGCCTGTATATCTGAGATTGTGAAAGTCTTTGTAAAACGTCTGAGAATGATACCTAGGGGCGAATATATTATTTTAGTTTATATTTAAGTAGGACACAACCTATCTGAACATGATGTTGCAGGTAGGTTATGAAGGCTGTGAGTTCAATAGAATGTCATTTTGAAGATATATACTGTGAATCATTGCCCTTGTAGACAAAAACAAACTTCAGCTCTCGTTTATTGAAAAATCAAAATGCCTTTCTATTTGGACCTGGATATGAAACCAATCACTTTGTATCATAGCATCAATGTTTGAGATAGAGAGATAACCTTAACATGTGTCTCATGTTTTATCTACAACTTATTGTGTCAGAGAAGGTATTATCAAATCTAAAAAAGCAAAAAAAAACTAAAAAGAAACCAACAAACAAAAACAACATAGAAAGTGGAAAAAAATGCATGAATGTATATCACAATCAAACAATCACTTGAACATATTTTAATCTCACCAAACAACTTATAATACATTGCTTAAATTGTTTATGAAATGATTGACAGCTTGCTGATAAGGAAGTGCCAGTTTGTAAATGTTTTATAGATTGCTTTGGCTTCTTCAACATATGTATCAATTCCTAGAATAAGTCCTTTGGTGTTAAAGCATTGGCTTTTGAAAATTATATTTTGCATATTTGTGCAAAACAGTACAGTCCATATTTACAATAATGGTTTGGCTGCAATAAAGATCAGTAATTGTACCTTTCCACTTAAAATTTACTGTATACAAACAGCATAAAAGTGTTGAAGCTCATGCAGTGGTTATAGTTACCTACTGTCAATTTTAATACCTATATGCTATAAAAAAAAACATTATGATAGTGTAATATATCAAAGTTAAACCTTAAAAGTGAAGGTTAGTGGAAACTCAAAACTTTTAGAGCCCATTATGAGTTGGCTCTAACTATGCAGTTATCATATCAAGTAAAGATTTGTAGATACACTTGAGTTGTTTAGGTCCCAAGGAAAGCTTTTTTTTTTTTTATCAGCAACTTGTATAGTCAGGAACCAAGATAATACATTAAAATAAACTTTATTGGTGTATGTAGCGGAGCTCCCTGTACCCTGGCTGGGTACCTCCGCCAAGGACCGTTTCCTAGCTGGAACAGGGGAAAACCTTAGCGCTTCTGCCCCAGTCGCCGTGGCTTGACTGGAGTCCTCCTGGAGCCTCTCCATCCTGGAGCAGGATAGGGGACTAGCTCTATTCCCTCCCAGGGACTGGATGACTCCCAGTTACTAGACGACACATAGCTCTGGGAGTGTTTAATGCAGGCACAGTCACAGAATTTATACAGATAGTAAACTCCTCTCCTGTGCCTGAGAGATACATTTAGACCATATAAAATCCTGAATATCATGTTGATGTCTTAAAATGTACTAAATCCTATTCATTATCTTCTTCAGAACTTGAATAGTTAAAAATAAGAGAAATTTGTTTATTCTTATTTCATTATTTTTTTATATGTATTGTAAGAGATTGCATCTATTGGTTAGGTCTATCCTTTCTAAACCTTTGAATGCCATTCTTATTGTACCCTTTCTTTAAAACATTGTTTTTTATTTAAATTAATTATTGAGATGAAAAATCTTGGTATGTTTAATTTCTTTTTAAAAATTACTCTTAAAAATTGCCCCTTAGGGATATTTGCTAACTAGGTTTGATGATGACAGCCATCTATATCTATACAGCTATTTATGTTGACTTTTTTAACATGAGTCCCTGTTAAAATGGCTTTATTAGAAACATAAATGTCCAAATCTAAAATAATATATATTATTGTTACTTATATTGTGGGTTAATTTGCTCCCCCAATTACTTGAATTAAGATATATAAAAAATGTGTTAATTTCATCAACAGACCCTTTCCATGTGATAAAAAAATCTTTCAATGTAATTTTCTTTCTATTAATCTCACGATTTAATGAATAACTTAATAGCATATAGCTTAACTGTCCCAGCATTATCGTTGTTCTTGTGTGGATAAGACTATTAATAGAGACAAATGAAGAAACAAAAGAGGGAGCTATAGTGCCAGGAATACAGATTTGTATTCCTGCCCTTTAGAGTATCCTTGTAAGTCCATTAACAATGTGTGTATTTAATAAGTGCATTTTTAAAAATTTAGGGATTGAGAGGATCAATATATGATTTACTGTATTTATTTATGAGATTTACAAAATCTGTGATTACCGATTACTTTTTTCAAATGCTACATGTGATTTAATACAGCTCTGTTAATAAATTCAGGAAACTGAATAGTATCTACATTTGTGTGTATTTTGCAATAGTTGAGTATGTATATGTGGCATGAAATATACAATTTGTTTTGATTAGACTTTACCCTACATATTGGGTTATACTGTAGCAACCTAGGGGAGTTGTTTGAGGTTAGTAACTCTTGTTGTGGGCTTAGAATTGCGTATCAGGTGATGAAACGATGGAATTCCATTTATTGACAGTGCAATCATGTATTCAAGCTGACCACTTGAGACAGAAAAGCATGCCGATGACTATTTATAGGACGGACTGAATGCCCGACACTGTGAATTGTTTGTAAGTTAACTATTTAGGTATACAAAAACCTGAAATTGACCCAAAAGTCAATAACAGAAAAGACTTGGTGGGTAATAATGGTCATAAACCTTGAATTGATTAAACAAGAAAATAAATTACCATAGAGGACTGGAAGAGGTAAAGGTGAATCACCGTTCCTCTACCAGTCTCCTGCGGTGTACCCACAACGATGGGAACGACTCATAGAGCTAAGAAAACTAAATTAAAATACCTAATACATCTTTATTGAGTTATACTAAAACATAAATTAATGGTGAAACACAAAATCAAATGTGCTGGTGATGCTTAAAAAGGGGAAGACTTGATGCAGCCTATACGAAATCTCCTAATTCAGGGTCATTGGTATGCAGTGTAATGGAAAAGTTAATTGATAGGCTGATGTAATAAAAAAAGTTTTCATTTTAGAGACATTCTATCAGGACTTTAAATGTAAGATAAAACACACAGGACATGAGAACCTAGATCATACTAGAAAATTACTTAGATAGGGTATATATGGTAATACTCCAAGGGGTATCTAAAATACACCCAATAAATGGTGACAATATATGAATTTATTGCAATATTGGACCATAAATTTGAAAAGTCTAAAACCCCAGGTTCTCCAGATATATTGCCAAAGATAGCAGTACAGACTAGCTAAAGGTTGGGTACATCGCAGGAGACTGGTAGAGGAACAGTGATTCACCTTTACCTCTTCCAGTCTTTTATGGTAATTTATTTTCTTGTTTAACTATTTAGGTATTATTACACAGTATAAGCCTTTTGAATATTTATTTACCATATTTACATGTTCGTTTACCGTTAAACATAATTTAGCTTTTATTTACTATTGGCACTACTTATTTTTTAATTTGAGGTACATGAAAGAATTAGGAGGCTACAAAAAGTGATTTTATACAAACACAGGAATATCGGCCTTGATTACATTGGTTTGGGACATTTCAAATTACCACAATCTGTTAGATAAACTATTTTAAAATACTTTATCTACTGAAGTCACCACTTTTTGTACATATACGAGGTATAATAATAACGTTTGATGTAACCTGGCAGCCAAGGAGAGTGGAATGGAATGCATGCGTGAACAATGACGACTTCACTGTACTAGTCAGTGTGGGGACTAGATGCTGTCGAGTGAGCATGTGTACTGTGTGGCCATCACATTCAAAAATGACTGCGTGAGTAGAGCAACAAATCTGCATTACATTTTTTGTTAAGCTTAAACATTCCTCAGCGGGAACTATTCAGATGATTTAAAAGGCTTTCGGAGATGATGCAATGACTGCAGCGCTAATAAAATTGTGGCACAAACACTTCAAAGATGGTGGAGGATCTGATTTTGCACCCGGCAACTTCTGGATTTTCCTAAAACTAAAATCACCTTTAAAAGGGAAAAGATTTTAAACTGTCAATTAGATTCAGGTAAATACAACAAGGCAGCAGAAGACGATTCCAAGAAAGGATTTTGCAGAGTGCTTTGAACAGTGGAAGAGATGCTGGGAGAATTGTGTGTGGTCCTATGATGCCTACTTTGAAGGAGACTGAGGTGGCATTGTACTATGTAAAATGTTTCTTGTATATTTTATCTTCTTCAATAAATGTCTATTAAAATTGTATATTTCATATTACATGGCTGGATACTTTCCAGGCAGACCTCGTATCAAAGTGTTTTACTAACAGATTTTGATCACTTGAAATGATGATACAAACAAATTAAATCAAGGCCATTGTCGGTTTATGTTAGTAGGAATTTGACACTTGGCACTTGAAAATAATTATCTCTACATATTACACTTAACCATGTTTGCTTATAGATTGATGTTATTTGTTCTAAACACATATCAAAACATATATATATATATTGATACCTTTAGCCTTAGTTACACAATGTTAGTAAAATGTTATACCAGAAAAAAACCCTAGAGGGCATTGTCTTCTCACAGATATAGCACCCACCGTCAGTTTGTAATGGTCAATGCCTTTCTTTTTCTTTCAAATAAATAGGTAGATTAAAATATGGAATTAATTTTATAATGTTTATATCAAGCGAAGAAATGCAAATATAACCAGGAAAATGATATGTTTGTGAACACTGCATGGAAAACTACAAGTGCAATTTTTAAAAATATATTTAACTAACCTCTAAAAAAGGTGCTTGATTCTTCACTATGAGTATGTATAATGTTTTGATGTGAAAAAATACACATCTTTATTACAATACTTATTACAGCATTACAAAGAAAATAGTTAAATAAATACAATAAATCAATAATGATGCAAGTTTGAAAAGCACTTGTCATTATGACTGCGTACATAGGCGTGCGCACTGGGTGTGCCGGGTGTGCCTGGGCACACCCTAATCCCCGCGGCACGCCTATGTATATTGAGACCGGCAGGGGAGATCTCAGGATCTCCCCTGTCGGCTCATGCAGAGCCGGCGCTATCCGAGTGTCTGCTCTGCTCTCAGCCTCCCTCCCCACCGACCCACATGCAGGGAGGGAGGCAGGACCGGCGGAGCTCTTGCCAGTAGCTCCGCCGGGTTCCCACAGGGGCTAGAGTTCACTCTCCACTGGACCACCAGGGATGGAAGCAGCAGCAACAAGGATCCCCCCTCCCAGGCATAAGGTAAGAAGGGAGGGGGGATATCAAGTAATGTACCCCCACCTCCTCCCCCACAATCACCCACACACAGACAGCACACACACCCACACATACAGCACACACACCCACACATACAGCACACACAGACATACACAGCACCCACAGACATACACAGCACCCACAGACATACACAGCACCCACAGACATACACAGCACCTACACACATACATACAACACCCACAGACATACACAGCACCAACACACATACAGCACCCACAGACATACACAGCACCCATAGACATACACAGCATCAACACACATACAGCACCCACAAACATACACAGCACCAACACACATACAGCACCAACACACATACAGCACCCACAGACATACACAGCACCAACACACATACAGCACCCACAGACATACACAGCACCAACACACATACAGCACCCACAGACATACACAGCACCAACACACATACAGCACCCACAGACATACAGCACCCACAGACATGCACAGCACCAACACACATACAGCACCCACAGACATACACAGCACCAACACACATACAGCACCCACAGACATACACAGCACCAACACACATACAGCACCCACACACATACAGCACCCACAGATATACACAGCACCTACACAGATACAGCACCCACATACATACACAGCACCTACACACATACAGCACCCACACAAATACAGCATCCACAGACATACACAGCACCCACACACATACAGCACCCATAGACATACACAGCACCTACACACATACACAGCACCCACAGACATAGAGCACCCACAGACATACAGTACCCACAGACATACAGCACCAACACACATACACAGCACCCACACACATACACAGCACCAACACACATACAGCACCCACACACACATACAGCACCCTCACAAACACACACAGCACCCTTACACACAGCACACAAACAGCACCCTCACACACACACAGCACACTAACAGTACCCTCACAAACACAAACAGGACCCCAACAAACACACACAGCACACTACCAGTACCCTCACACACAAACAGCACCCTCACACACAGTACATTAACAGCACCCTCACAAGCGCGCACACACACACACACACAAACAGCACCCTCACACACAGTACATTAACAGCACCCTCACAAGTGTGCACACACAAACAGCCTCACCCACATAGCACACTACCAGCACCGTCTCACACACACATCACACTAACAGCATCCTCACACAGCACACACACACACAGCAGTGTGTGTATGTGTGTATATATGTGTATAGATATATATATATATACATACATACATATATATATGCGCCGTGTGCTTGTGCTTTAGGGTGCACACCTTAATGCAATAGGCTGCGCACGCCTATGACTACGTATCCATCATGAGCAAGGTTCCCACAGACTCTCTACTGTCAATATAGAACCCCTAAATATTAGGAGGAGGCTGAGCAGTGCTATTAAATAGTTCCTAATCCTAATGATTTAAAGCCACATTTCTAAGAATAACTCAACTTCAGAAATAAAAGGGAATCATGATGGAATATTTCCGTCATGTGTCCTTAAGGGGATATTATACTACCTACTGTTTTGATGGGATGCTTAATCCACCAGTTGTAAAATTTAAAGTTAGTACCTACCCTAATGCCTACATATAGAATGTACCTCTAATATAAATAATTTTTAATGGACCTATCTATTATTATATGAAAATACCCACTTGTTCTTATCTTCTGCTCACTGAACTTGTCACATTTGAAATAAACAAACCACAAAGAAAATGAATACAAAATGACGTTACTACTGAAGACAAATCTTATTGGCTGAGCTTTTACAAGGCGGGACCATAGCCTATGGAACCCTTTTAATAGGAGAGGTATCTAGATCTGTATTTTGAAATATATGAACCCCCAGTTTGCCTACTTCCTTAAGCTCAACTTGGCAAAAACAGAACTTCTGGTCTTTGCTCCCTCAAGTGTTGCTACTCCCGTTTCTGTCTCCCTCCTTATTAATGGTGCTACCATCATCTCCACCACTCAGGCTCGCTGCCTAGGTGTTCTCTTTGACTCCGACCTCTCCTTCACCCTTAATGTCCAGTGGATCGCCAAATCCTGCCGCTTCAATCTCAAAAATTTTGCGCGCATCCGCCTGTCAGGGTCTTACCTGAGTTGGGAGTCTGTAGCGCAGATATGATGCTCACCCTTGCAGATAGCCACAGGCCGAGGTGGTCAGGTAAGAATTCACCTGGCCTGTGGGTCTGTGCACGGGGGCTGTGCAGGATGCAGTACCAATACGCAGGACAGGCAAGGACTGAACCAGCAGGATGGTCGAGGGATAGCCGAGGTCAAAGGATGCCAGAGGACAGGAACAACGAGGAGTAGCCGAAGTCAAGGGATGCCAGAAGTCAGAATAAACGAGTCAGGAAGCCGGGGTCAATAATGCGAAGCGATGAAACAGGAACACTGGAACAAACAGGATCAAAGACTTGACACTGAGCACAGGGCGAGGCTGGGTTTATATACCCTGCTGATGACTGATCAGAGTCAGGTGAAACACAGCCAAGTCAAGGTGCAGCCCCCAGAGTAGTAGCCATGTCAGGATGAACAGGACTGGAATCAGTCTTCAGTGTAAATAGCTGCTGTGGCTCAGAGGTAGAAAGCAGGACCAGGACTGAGAAGATCCCCGGTTCAAGTCCCCTGTTGGGAACTCCAAGAGCAGCCACGTCTTGCCGTCTGTCTATCAGGTGAGAACCGTGACAGTACCCCCCCTTTAAAAACGACCTCCGGGCGTAAATAGGTTCACTGTCAGCATAGTACACCTCTCCAGGGTCACTATCTGAATCCAGTGAGTCCCCATAGTCAAACTCCCCAGCAAGGATTCCCTTTACAGCTTGGGAGTCCGCAGTACCAGCTTCTGGTACAGCTGGAGAATTGTCCAGGTCTTTTAGGTTCCGGGTACAGGTGGCAAGCACTTCCAAAACTTTGGCAGGAGCAGTGTTCGCAGCTAACAATGCTTTTTCGAACATTTCAAGGTCTTCTTTACGGACTATAGTGCCATTAGAAGCAACGGCACAATCCACAGGTAAAACCTCTTCGGGCTGGCAGGAAGTAGTGGTGGTATCACAGGAAGCAACTTCGGGAGTAGATGCAGGAGGCTCTGGAGCAGGGGATGGAGGTTTTCTCGCCGAAGCCAAGCATGTGCAAGCACAATGGTTTCTATTTGGCTTTTTAGGCTGGTATGCGGTGTACACAGGGCGAAGGAAACTAGTACCAAGTCGGAGAGCTGGAGGTCTAGGAGGGCGAACAGGACAAAGCGTGATGAAATGCCCTTTTTCTCCACAGTAGTAACATAGGCCATAGCTTCTCCTTCGGTCTCTTTCCTTAGGTGTCACTTTGCAGTGGACGAGTCCTAATTGCATAGGTTCCACAGGGTCAAGTGGAACACCGGATACCTCTGGAGTTTTCCTGGGAGCTGGAACATAAGGAGGCATCTCTGGGGCGTAGTGGTGGTACTCGGTTTCTTGGTTAGGAAGAATCTGAGATTTTTTAGTACGTGGAGCTGACTTGGCCACAGTGGTCTTACATTGTGAGTCCATAGCAGTACTAAAGGATTCCCAGCTGACCAGGACAGGACTCTTCGTCTGCAACATTTGGTGAGCCCAAACTTTGATGCGTCCAGACAACAGGTTGATAGCCGCTCTGACCCTGATGAATTCTGTGGCATATGTTCGAGGCTTTAAAGAAAACAACACCTCACAATCCATCTTGAAAGACTGATAGGATGTGCGGCTACCATCAAATCGGTCGGGCATGATGACAAACGGTTCAGGAAAAGCTGGTTCGGGGCTGGATGTACTGCGCCTTTAAGGAATAAAATTTCTTGCTGCAGCTCCGAAACAGTCTGGGCCAGGCTGGACACACGCTGGGTCGAGGGTGAGCACATCTCTGCGGACTCCATAATGGTCAAGTCTTATGTCAGGGTCTTACCTGAGTTGGGAGTCTGTAGCGCAGATATGATGCTCACCCTTGCAGATAGCCACAGGCCGAGGTGGTCAGGTAAGAATTCACCTGGCCTGTGGGTCTGTGCACGGGGGCTGTGCAGGATGCAGTACCAATACGCAGGACAGGCAAGGACTGAACCAGCAGGATGGTCGAGGGATAGCCGAGGTCAAAGGATGCCAGAGGACAGGAACAACGAGGAGTAGCCGAAGTCAAGGGATGCCAGAAGTCAGAATAAACGAGTCAGGAAGCCGGGGTCAATAATGCGAAGCGATGAAACAGGAACACTGGAACAAACAGGATCAGAGACTTGACACTGAGCACAGGGCGAGGCTGGGTTTATATACCCTGCTGATGACTGATCAGAGTCAGGTGAAACACAGCCAAGTCAAGGTGCAGCCCCCAGAGTAGTAGCCATGTCAGGATGAACAGGACTGGAATCAGTCTTCAGTGTAAATAGCTGCTGTGGCTCAGAGGTAGAAAGCAGGACCAGGACTGAGAAGATCCCCGGTTCAAGTCCCCTGTTGGGAACTCCAAGAGCAGCCACGTCTTGCCGTCTGTCTATCAGGTGAGAACCGTGACACCGCCCCTACTTAACGCCAGATACGACTAAGGTGCTGGTCCATGCCACTGTCCTCTCTCGCTTTGACTACTGCAATCCACTTCTCAGTGGCCTTACGTGCTCCCAACTTGCACGATTGCAGTCTATCATGAATGCGGCGAGGTTTATCTTCCTGTCCGCCCGCACCTCATACGCCTCACCCCTCTGTCAGTCCCTGCATTGGCTTCCCATAAGACACAGGGCTCAATATAAAATTCTGGTTCTTGCTTTCAAATCTCTACATAATACTACTTCCACCTTTCTATCCTCCCTTGCCAAAGACCTGTGTCTATCCTCTGTGTCTACTCCCACCTCTGATGCTCGCCTTCAAGACCTCTCTAGAGCTGCACCGCTCCTGTAGAACGCCCTTCCCTTTTCAGTTAGATGCTCATCCAGTCTCCACTCCTTCAAAAAATCATTAAAAACTCACTTTTTCCCACTGATTCATCTCCTGCAACTGTCATTTAAAAAAAACAAAAACAAACAGACACTAAGTCTTCATTGAATACTATTCTACCAATCTACTTCCCTAATACTATCCTTACCTGTTGTGTCACCTTACCCCACTTCCTCTAGCATGTAAGCTCATTGAGCAGGGCCCTCAGCCCCTCTGTTCCTGTGCGTCAAACTTGTCTGGTTACAATTACATGTTTGTTAGTTCACCCATTGTACAGCGTTATGGAATTTGTTGGCGCTATATAAATATAATAATAATAATAATCTGATAGAGGAGCAAGTCCACACGCTCATTGCCAGATTTTCATGTGAGATGCCCACACGCACAAAATTTGCCCCCTGCTCCCGACCCCAAAATAAGACAGTTACAGTATAATTAATTTTTTCAACTGGACTTTGCGGGCCTAAAACCATATTCATTTTGACAACTGCATAAGTATATATGTATGTGCATATTTTGACTTTGCTTGTAATGTATTATGTTCTTATTGTATGAATCTGTGAGTATGTAAGTGTATACAGCTGTGTAAATGCATGTCATTGAAATGGTCTGGGTGCCATATCCCAGTTACCTAAACCCTGGAGATTTAGAGAAAGAGTCTACCAGATAGCCACTAGAGGCATTTCCTGCTGTGAAACAATGCTCACGTCTTGCATGAGAATGTCCAGCATCTTCAAATGCCTCATAGGAAAACATTGATTCACTGCTTTCCTATGGGGAAGGCCAAATGCATGCGCGGTGCATGAGCATGAAGTTCCTCCTAAGCACTGATGTCATAGGAGGTAGAGACCGAGCCAGTGCCATGGTGTTGGAAAGAGCACTTTATATTCCTAACACTATAGTGTTCCTTTAAAGACAATGTTAGAAGTGGTTTAATGTCAGAGTAATATTACACAAAGTGTTTAATGTTAAAAATAAAATTAAAAGCTAGAGATTTATAGTTGTGGTATAAGATCAGCTTACAATTATTGAGCTAAGAGCAAGAGTCAGGTTAATTTAGTATTGGGGTTGGTAGACATTTTGACACCTGATACAATCAGTTTGTATGCTAAGAAGTCATACTTAAAATTATACCACTCTAAGAACATTAAAGGATCACTATAGTGTCAGGAAAACAAAGCGGTTTTCCTGACACTATCCCCACCCTCAGGGTCCCCCTCTTGTGGCGCTGAAGGGGTTAAAACCCTTTCAGCTGCTTACGTTAATCCAGCACTGGGCTCCCTCAGCGCTGGTGACCTTTCCTCCCCCGTCTACGTCAGCTCCCAAGTAGAGCAGAATGTGCGGCAAGTGGCGCACGCGCATTCAAACAGTCCATAGGAAAGCATTTCTCAATGCTTTCCTATGGACGTTCTGCACGCTGGATGCGAATTTTGCATCCAGCGTCGCAGATGCACTGAAACTGCTGTGTTTACATCTGAAGGGTTAAAACCTGAGGCACCTGGCACCCAGACCACTTCATTGGGCTGAAGTGGTCTGGGTGACTATAATGTCCCTTTAACAAACAGGAACATGTTTTCAAGTTAAAATACTAAATATGTTAAAGCTTAATTAGTCATATTTTAACTGACATTGCCCGCTACATAACCTCATCTGACTTGAGATAAACTTGTTTTTCTCTTTTTATCTTGTACACATCTGCCACAACATTTGACTACAGTGCCTAATAATATTAAGGCTTAAGTTTAGTCGTAACCAAACTATAAGAATAAACTGTAAATTAAGTGGTATTTCATAGATATCATTTACATAGATATAACTAAAGATAGAGCCAAATGTTTGCAGTGCAGTATGATACGTTTGCAGTGTGAAAATAATAAACACGTAAGACTATTTAAAGTTTAGTTGATGATCAGAAATTAGAGGGTTAAGCATTATAAAACATACATAATTTGGCAAGAATAACATATTCTCAGAACTCTGGAATTTGAATTTGATAACCTACTAACCTTTTATTTGTTATTATTATTTTCATTCTGTGCCACTCATATCTATTATAACTATACCTTTAAACCCTGTGCTTTTATCAATACATTGACTAGTTGTCAATTTGCCCTAGAAACTCAGTTTATTAGTTTGATTATTCATCTCAACCAGTTGAATCAACAATGGTCTGTCCAAAAATTGTTCAGTTCCCAAGGTAAAGAAATGGTGGAAGGCAACCAAAAGAGGATCTCGGACAGAAAAAGAACCTTAATAATTTGGTGTCTAGAATTGGTGAGTATAATTACCTTTGCTTATTACCAATCTACTCAGACTGATCTGGAAGTATGTTAATCTATAAGATGGTTCCTGTAAAAAAAGGAAACCACCAGCGTATGTTCTCTAGGAGGGAAATTGTATGTCCTTCCATAACAAGTTAATAGACTTCACCTACAGAGTGGTAGGGAATCCTATCCCTTAGTATGGGGCACTCCAGAGAATGGATTTAGGATAAAGTCAGGTGTGGTACACTTAAAATAATAGCTAAGTGGGACTTTAGTGACAATTTGGGATTACTGTCCTCTTAAACAGTGTTAATTCGCTGTCACATTCACATGAGGAATTGACCAAGGAACAAAACTAAGGTGTTTCATGTCTAGGTTTTGAGTGCTGGCAATTGAAGGGTTATTTGCAAAGTATTTATCCTCCTACATCTTTTGTAACTCAATTAGATTGGTGATATTAGAGCTGCAGTAGATGTTATACAGTGTGCATCACTCAAAGCTTCCCATGCTTGAAGAGGCTGTTAGTAGATAAAATGGAAGTGATCCATTTCTCTTCCTTTCCAGAGTTATACACAGACTTCCTTATTCTATATATTTTTCCCACGGTTTGTCTATGCTTTTTTAATGTACAGCTTCCTTGTGCATCAAGGCAGGACTTGCTCTGCTTGCACTCAGTATAGATATAGATAGACAGACAGTCAGACAAATACCCATCTCTCTGTTTTCATCTATGAATCCAAAATATTTATTTTTGATAAAAATGAAAGAAAACTTGTTGAGCACATATTTTGGTCATGTATATTATATTCTTGTGTTTGTAGAAATAGGTCCATAATGAGTTTTCCTCTCTGAGTCTTATTTATTTGTATTCTTTTGTGTTGGCTCAGGGTACTATACACTTAAAAACTTAAACTATTTACTTTCGAGCAAAGCCCAGCTGTACAGCACCTGCTTATTTTATTGCATTTATTATCTATTCATTTTATGGAATATTCAGTAAACCATGGATAGGAAAAAGAGAAAATTCAAAATACGTCATTACTTCAGTGCAGCTGTTTCCTAAGACATACAATAATTTTGTGTCATTACGGAAATGTGCTGTACTGTTGTTCCCCTGTATATGTGAAGCATTCATATTGGTTTGTGCTGTAATACATTCTGTTCAGTAAATGTTCACCAAAGATATTGATTAGCCATTAAGTAGTTCAGAAAGAAATATGGGAGTTCTGGCAAACTTTTTAGAACCTTGTCAGACCTAAGATTTGAAAAAAATGTTGTTTCAATAACACTCTCTTCCTCCAGTGACTATCTCTGTCCTATTACTATCTTCTATGTATATCTATATCACAATCAAGAGATCTGTAAATGCATATTATGTCCAGAAAAGACCAGTAAATCCATGGAACAGAATTATTATTATTTAGAAGACTAACTTCTCCTACCAGCAAGTGCCTAAAAAAGTCCCAATAGAATTTACATTTAGCACACTTTGTCCAAAGATGGACATGTGACGAACTACCCTTCGCCACTGGCTTTTGGAGGGGCCTGATTGCCAGCCTCCTGCCCTGTGACTATGGCCCATGGCTGAAAGACATGCTAAAAACAGACTGCCATGGGAAAATGTGCCTCTTCCCCTCACCCTTTTTCCTGTCCTATTGTTCTCCCACAGGGACACTGCCAGACCATTTTAAACTGACTGCTTTGTCCCTCCTCAATCTCCCATTTTTATGGGGTTTTTGTAACAGCTTTTGAGATATTTCCTGCCACTTAAGCCAATTATCTCCAGTATAGAGGAGAAGATAGACCGGCTGCACAGCCTAAATCTGTGGAACTATCTTGGGCATGAAAACCATGATTGCGGGTGGTCAAATGTGACATCCATAAAACTTTTGAACCCCTGCTCTGATCTGGGTGATTTTTGGATATGTTGTTCACCCAGATCAGGGCTATCCAGGGATGTATTATGGGGATATGTGATGTTTTGGGGTGTTTTCTGTGTTTTGCAAAAAATGTGTGTTTTCTGCTTGTGGGTAATTGAGTTAGTCTATTGTGTTTGTTAATTGTATCACAGGCAGAGGTAAGGGTTTGTGTACATTATCTGGGAGTATCTAACTGTACAAGACTGTTTTGATTGGCTTTGTGACTTTGTGTCCTGTGCTCTACAAGGTCCACATGGGTGGTAACCTTGGGGGGAAAACCTGTATAAAAGAGACAATAAAGCCTCCGTTCATTCTGATCTGCTTAGCCCTCAATATGGAGCCTTGTCTCGTTATTGTAGGAAACTGCTATATTCACACTGAGGATTGCTATACTTTTTATTCTCCACTGAGCTCTAATCATTTAACTCTTTTAAGAGCTGTTCCTGATACGCTCTCTTTCCCACATGGTCCTGGAGGACAGAGGCTGATCCAGGGGGGAAGGAAGACGGCGAGACTCCAGTTAAGCTACGGTGGTTGTTGAGTCTGCAGTGGTTGTGATGTTTGGTGCGGTGCTTATGGTCTTCTACGTCAGCTTGGAAGCGTCCATCAATGGAGGTGCCCAGTCGGGGTGTCAGGGGATCCGTTACAGGACATATATTCCCAAAGTGTTTTGACAGCAGCAACAACAATCTTATAAATCAGGAAAATCCAGAAGGAAGCTCCATGGGTCAGGTGAGATTAATAATTTGAGATTTGGAGATGTTAATTTTCAAATATGAGCACAAATGAATAATAAAATATAAAATAGGGTTATGTTTGGCTCAGGGACAAGTAAATAAAAAGACTGTCAAGTTTGTGAATCTCTGATTTAGTTGTACTAATCACCAATGCTCCAGGATCAATACAAAGAAAAGAAGTGACAATGGACAGCCTTGCCTTGTGCCAGGGCTGGTGCAAGGATTCTTGGCACCCTAGGCAAAGCCTACTTTTGCCACCCCTTCCTGAAGTGTGTGTGTAGTGGGATGCAGGATGGTGTGTATAGTGGAGGAGGTGTACGTGTATAGTGGATGCAGTGTGTGTAATAGATGTAGAGTGTGTGTTTATATGGTGAATGCAGATTGTATGTTTGTGTAATGGATGCAGTGTGTGCAGTGTCTGTGTAATTTATGCAGTGTGTGTAGTGTTTGTGTGTAGTGGATATAGTGTAAAGTGGATGCAGTGTACGTGTAGTGAATACAGAGTGTATGTTTGAGTAGTGGATGCAGTGTGTGTATAGTGTAAAGTGGCGGTGTGTACAGTGGAAAGCGGCAGTGTGTACAATGGAAGGTGGCAGTATGTACAGTGGAAGGTGGCGGTGTGTATAGTGTAAAGTGGCGGTGTGTAAAGTAACATTATTTATAGTGTAAAGTGGCAGTGTGTATAGTGGAAGGTGGCAGTGTGTATAGTATAAAGTGG